CACAAGAATTGCAATTTATCAAAGCGTTACCCATACTGGATTCATTTTTCATCTCTCTCGTAGCTCTTTCTGCTCCTCATTTGCCTACTGATTCAGTATTCTCTCGCACGATCAGTTTCAGAGGCATCTGCCGGAACCAGTTGGGAAAGTGACTGTATAATGAGAGACTTAGTAACATGAACACGCACATGAGTCCTGCATGGTGTTTGCTAGCAAAGCGCGCATTGCACTGCCTGATCATTGTAGCCTTCACCATGCTTTGCAACCCTTCAAAAATGGATCAAGGTGATGATTGTTGAAAGATTAGCAATGGAAGAAAATTTTGCTATCAACAGGGTCAATGGTGTAATTTACTCAAACCCTGTGATTTCCAGCCATCATGTCCATCACCGCGCAAAATAGGATGAATAGTCTTGCGTCCGTCAGGCCCTTGGCCAAATGCCGCTGCAGATCACTAGAGCAGCTTAGCGGTCGCAATTACACCAATATCATTGACATGAACTGTCAGTAATGTGTAATGTCATGCGAAAATTGCTATGTAATTACATCCTCACACGGACCAACTATATATGCTAATCCTTATCATGTAGGTTAGATTAGTTCGTAGACTGTAACGTAATCCACGGCCGAGTCGTCCACACGGCCGTCCCGTCCATTTTCGCGCCCATCTGCTGCAGATTTGAAGCCTTTCAACCCCCAACATCATTAAATTAGACTATTAAGTAGCTGAATATATAGCTATTTATTAGGACAACTCCTTATAGTATGTCCAACAGTCCAACATCCACTGCAGCGTGGTGCAGCGCGCTGACGAGATATAGGTGTGGGCTCATCAACCTGCTCAACAAGTGGCATATCAAGCTGCTGAACACGATTCTGGCCTTCTTGTACAGATAATATGGTATCACCACCTAGATTAGCATGTCTTCTTGCCTTCTTCTTTCTTTTTCGTTCATTCTCTGCCCGTAGAACCCTAATTTCTTCTTGTAGCAGAAGGTTTGCATTCATTGCCACCTGCGCAGCCTTCTCAAGACGTTGGATATGAGATATTGGACTACTAGAAAGCTTTCTTTTCTGAAGGCTTCTCTGTATGCTGCGGAGCTTGTGATCAAGCTGGCGAGTATTCTGAGGTGTTTGAAAGGCAGATGATACTGAACCTTCAAGAAGTGGTGGTGTTGGCGTACGAAGCTGAAAAGTAATCTTTTCAAGAACCCTGTCTTGATTTAGTGGCTTAAGACCAGCTCCTGCAAAGCCACTGCATATATTCTCTTGATTAAAGATCATCTCACGCGCAGGAGGATATAGATGTAGAAAATCCTCTTTATCAATGTGATTGTTCCCAGCCACCATCATCCCTTCAACGAGTTTCCCATATGCGCGCTTAAGTGGGCCAAAAACACCAACATCCAGTGGTTGTAGAAGATGAGATGTATGAGGTTGCATGCAAAGACAGATGATTGCATTCTCCTCACAGAAAGTATCAAATTCTAGAGTTAAATGGCTAGAATGGCCATCAAGAATAAGCAACCGCTTTGCACTAGTTGAATATCGCCTAGAATATGGCTCAAACACATCTTTTAACCAGCGGAGACCTATCTCATCTGTCGTCCAGCCATTTTGACTAGTTGCAATTAACCAGTCTTGAGGAAGCTTGGGTTCTTGATACCAAGCAGCCTGGTGTTGTTTTGCCTTCAGGATGACCACTGGTGGTATAGGTAGCCCTTTAGAGCTAACACATTCAATGATAGTAACCCATTCCCGATTGCCCTGGATGACTGTACGAGGTCTCTCACTGCGCTCTACAGCAGTGATGACCTTAGATGTTGTACAGAGTCCCATTGCAAAGCCAGTTTCATCAAAGTTCCAGATATCATCTTCATGAATGCCATGTTCCTGAATGGCTTCATGTACAGCTTTAAACCACTGTTTTATAACCTTTGGATTCTCCTGCTTTGCACGCTGGTATGTAATCCTTCGATTATATCTTGCACGTAGTTCAGGATGGCGTTTAACAAAGGAGGAGGCCCAGTTAACTCCAAGGACTGCAGTAGCATCTTGGGAACGTTCACAAAGTAAAGTCTGTGCCATTCCACACAGAAACTCTGGACGGATTGGAAAGCCTCGCTTATCTGCATCCAACAGTCTCTTCACAAGGACATCCTCTTCAATTGCTGTTAATTTATGGCCACTAGCGCGTGTTTCTGACCGTGGATTGATTCCTTTGAGCCGATCAAGGAAGGTAGATTTAGGCACTCCAAATATGGCTGCAGCCCTTGATTTTGATTGAACTTTTTTGCTTTTATAAGCTGCAATAGCCATTTGCATCCGGTTTTCTTGAGAGAGCGGCATTTTATGTAGTAGTAGTGAAAAAACAACGTGTTGAAGAATGATTGTAGAAAATGGGCGCAAAAATGGACGGGACGGCCGTGTGGACGACTCGGCCGTGGATTACGTTACCATTTATTTTGTATTAGTAAAGGTGTTCCTCCCATATATGAAAATAGTGGGTAATGTAATGATCATTCAGTTATGTGAAACTCATTCGAATTACAGGAAGTTCTAAGTTTGTGTAATTTCAATGCTGGGCGCTACGAGAGCCCGCACAGGGAAGTGGTTTAATGTGCTGTGTGCTGCTAATCCTCTGGGTAAGGCCTGGACCTATCAGATATCATCGAACAATGATACACACATTCTATATATAGGGGGACAGGGGTCATCTCAGAATATGCACTTTCACATCCACACCGCACATCAATTGCCCGCAATGGCGAAAACCGGTGGCTTGAAGCCGACTGACAGGGGCTAGAGGCCCGGTGAGCCTGCCTAAGTCCGCTAAACCCAGAGGCTTCTCTGTATACCTTTACGCTAATATAGAATGGAATGGATTGCGCCCCGATGGTCAAACAAACCTGCTCATGTGCACCAATTTTTGCCAAGGCAAGCATCCCTTTGGACCCCAACAGAATTTTCAGCTCAAAATCGGACCTCCCATCATCTCAAACAACTCTGGCCTTCACGAACCATTAACAGCACCGCATCCTTTGAAATGGCTGCATTCATCAAGGCTATAAATGCGAGGATTAGATCCAATCCGATATTAGATTACATCTGCTCTACCCGTACGTACGCTCTGATTTGAAACTTCCCCAGGTTATCCCCGATAAGCCCGATGACGGAAGATTTGGTCTTGTCTGGAGTGATTAAGTCCTGTGTTGCATGCATGAAGCTCTACGGCCGGATGGGCGAGATTGAATCAGTTTCTATGAGAACCAATAGTGGTTTCTCGTTGGCCTGTAGTTGCGTACTGAGGCATGAGACCTTCATCGAGACATGGCGCGAGAAGAACTTTGGTGTATGCAGTGGGCTGACCTACTTCGTAGATTTCTGGGGCCCGGTATCAAACTTCGGAATTCCGGTAGCGGCTATCATGGACACGCAAAAGAGTCCCGAAATGTAAGGCTTTTTATGCAAGTCTCTATCAGTGATGTGGTGTCTGACTCTTGACAGGATCTCGGGTAAGATGACGGGTGCCCTCTGCATCTACGCGGCCACTTTCATGCGATACTCCCTCGCTATAACACCCAAGAATTACCTCCTCTTCCTGTGCCACTCCGTCAACGCAGGTGCTCAGCTCACACAGGGCTACCGCTACCTACAACATCACCACTGGGGTGGGAAGGAGAAGACGGGTGGTACAAATGCAGTTGATGCGGCGAAAAAGAAGATAGCCAAGGTTGAGGATAAGGCAAATGATACAGTAAGTAAATAAGACTGGACGGGTTGAGCTAGAAGAATGGAGGAATCCGAGACCAAGTACAAGATTGACAGGGATATACGCCGCAGTGGTGGTTATAGATCGTAGGAGTTTTACTTGTGAAATAGGACATGTCCGGCGGCTGGTGGTCCAATCGCCACGCCCGGCCTGTATTATCACTCCAGCTATTTTGGGACGCTCCCTATTTGTGATTTTAAGCGGTACTGCAGCCACGGCATAGAGGCAGTGGATGTCCTGGCTAATGAGATTATAAAGCCAGCCCTTGCGCAAGCGCAGTAGAGGCATATGGTTGCTGTTTACTCTGATATCTCCGGTGGTCCATCCGCTTATCCGAGGCATAATGCTGGAGTACATGTAAGCTGAACAAAGTTAAGCTACTTACACAGAGCCTTGATGACGGTCGGTATTCAACAACTCTTCCAATCAAACCTTAACCCAAGTCAGCTATCCTAGCAAAAGAATTGAGCCCAATGGCCGCTACAATATTCAATAATTATGAAATTAGAAACTTTACTGTTTATGGTGCTTGACTTTTGGCCAGGGCATGTGCATGTGGAAGTGAGACACGTGCGTAGTGGTGATTTGCGAGGCCTGCCCAAGATCTGAACTAATGAGTTATTCCTTGAGATGCGGTAGAGAGTGTCTCAGCGACATCCCAAGTCCTTAAACAATAACGACCACACTAGCTAATACAAGGATGAGATTTTGGGTACCAGGATTGATGAAGCAACGCAACCTGAGGTTAACAGCGAGCGAGGTTTTAAGAGAAAATTTGCGGAGTGATCAGCTATGGAAGCTGTAAAGGCATAAGAGGGAGTCAAAGAAGTAATCAACTCTTATAGACCTTGCTGTTACTCATTTCCTCACCATTCCCACATGACGAAAGCGTTGTCTGTTTTCTAGTATTAGTATATTTAAATTCTACCTAATGGTTGTATTCATTAGTAAAATTGGTTCATTAAAACTTTATGTTTTGGTTATAAAGTTTTTATATAATAATATTAGAACACTGCACTTCATTATTACTTCTACTACCATTTCATTTTCTAATTTTTTTTATTTTTTAATATTATAATTTCTAATATTGTTACAATTGTAATACTATTATTAATTAGTATATGTAATTTTGAATATATTAAAAACACTCGTTATAAGACCGCTATCGAGGGACATAAGCTCCGCGAGGAACGAAGGGAAAAAAATCCGAATACATTCTGGCATTGCCCTACATGTCGAGTTGCGTGAGACTTATCAGAGGTTGAGGGCTCCCGACAGTCGCGTTCAGCCCCATGAAATTGTTCCACTGAGACCAATCAAGCTGCTCGCCAACAGTAGTAGGGCTGAGAGGCGCATCTTGCATGTCTTGTATTTGTGACCACAGAAGCGAATAACACGTCTCCAGGCTCTTCTTTAATGCCACAGAGATCCTCTGCTCCACTAAAGCACCCACCTGCATCGCATCTGCCTGTGCCAGCAAGCAGGAGACAAGGACGTAGCATTTGATGTTCTTTTCACCAGCATATATGCGCGCTGCCGCTAGGTCGAGGTACTTGTCGACGGCTTTGCGCATCTCCCTCAGGTCGAATGTGCTACCAGGGTTGGTGGGGAATGGTCTGTCAGCTTCCAATTGATCTGTGAGCTTGCCACACATATAGAGCGCACTCTACGTGTACACATCGCGGAACAGACCTGTGCCGCATATTCGCAGGCAGTGAAAATCGTCATCGCCTGATTACGCCGAGTGCAAGAACAGGGAGAGTGATATTTCAAGGCAGATCTTGCGCGAGTAATAGTACAAGGGATTGGACATGGCTTTGACGGCAAAGGGGTGATGAAGGCTAAGGAGGAACCTCTGTACCAAAAGGTCAAAGAGTTTCGTCTGGAAAGCTGTTAGTGGTGTGCTGCTCATGCGGTAAGCTTCAATGAGAACAGAGCAGCTTTTCAGCGCTGCCGAAAACTCTGCACTCAAACTCAGGGCCATTTCGAAAGAGTTTTCAGCCCGAAAATTATTAATGAACTTGGCTATTTTTAAGCAGACAGGTATCGTCTTCATTAGCAGGATCTGAATTGAAGATTGTGTGAATTGGTCCATGGGCTTGGGTGCGAGAGCACTTCCAGCGGGTCTGGCCGCCTCCAGACTTGCATCGTCGATATTTGACGGCAAAGCACAGTCGTAGTCATCGCCGTCAATCGATGGCAAGCCACCGCAGTCCATGCTGGATTGAACCTCCAGCTCCAGGATGGTCGCCCAGAGTCTGCATCGTGATTCGATATCAGAAGAGGTCATATGAGAGAATGAGTGGTTTTCAGGATCGATGTGGACGCCCATGTGCATGGCCATCCGCAGCAGAGAGCCCGTCGAGAGCCAAGAAATATCACCGTTGACCAATTTGGCCTGGCCGACGGGACGGTGGTCTTTTCGAAGGCTATGTATGGCCGGGTCAAAGTTTCGCGTGTTTCTGAGGCCCCCGAAGGCTCCGGCCCTGCTCAATAATTTCGAACGGTACTCTGACGCGCGGCAGCTGGTCTCACGATATAGGGCAACGCGGTCGTTGGAGAGACTCGTAAACTATATGTTGCGAATTGAAGCTGAATGGAACTGTTATTGCAAGATGAAACGCGGTATACATGTAGACCATACTCCTTCTTGAACTATTAACACCTCAACATAATGCTCGCGAGCAGCTAAATACTTGATAACTGCTCAATGAAAATTATTCCAAACCTTCACCATATGAAAATACGTGCTAGCACATTCTGATCAGCAACATGAACCTTGTACAATTAGCCGGAGGCTTGCTGCATCCCTGGGCGTGTTTCATTATTCAAATTGAACTGAGCAGTTGATCAACCTCCAAGTTTGAGAAACTGATGATCCATCAGTTCACGAGCTGTTTTTCTCTCCTCTGGGAGCCAATTGAGCATTTGCCGAACAAAAGATAAAAATGCCTCTCGATCTTCCTGTTCGAGGAATGGAGCTGTATTCTCTAAGCTTCGAGACGGGATCAACCCATTATGCCGAAATTTATCTAAAATAGTACGTCAGGTATTGACATATGGAATAGTTGGTCAACCCACCTTCTGCGTCAAAGAAAGGACCGTCAAAGAATTCCTGGGCATTATTGCACAATTTGCCAGTGTCATTTGCCACAGGCTGGGGCCAGTCGTGTTCTGACATAGTCTTTGATTTTGCGAGCAATGCCTTGGGGGGTGGACCAAGTAGAGCAATCATTTCTGCCAGGTGTGACTTTGCGTCGTATTTGCCATCTGCATCATATACCTGTTGGAACAACTCCTGGCTCCCAAGGATATTCCACAACTTGCCGAAGGGAATGTTAACATTAAGGCCAAACCAGTGATTGTAGTCGCAGGGTATCTTACCAACAAACCAAAGTTCCAAATATCCGCCTTGAAATCCCAACCGCAGCCAAGGATTACCTCTGGAGCACGGTAATAGTCTGGTTGGATAGGATAAATGCCAAGTTGCTTTCCTACCATTCCATCTCGAGTATCCGGCTTGTCGAGTCTCGTTGCGAGCCCGAAATCGGCTATTTTGGGAACCATATTCTTGATATCTCGCCCGTCAAGAGGACCGAAATCATTATGGCAGCGGTAGATAGTTCGACCACTCTTGCCATCAATCTTGTATTGCATTTGTTGTTTTCGATTTATGAAGTTGGTAAGGATGTTTTCGTTTTCGAAGCTCATGAGGATGTTATCTAGCTTCAGATCTGATAGGTGGATTAGGAATTTATAATTCAAGCATAGGCAAATTGCGAAAAGCGCTTACCACTGTGGACAACATTGCACTCTGAGTGAAGATAATCAAGACCGGCAAGGAGGAAGTAGATATAGGCCTTTGCAATGGGCAAGTGAATCTTGCGATCAACAAAACGCCTCTGTAGAATCCAGATAGGCTCTCTCATCGGTTCATACACCAGGCACATATGCCTCCCTTCCGGGCCAGTTACTTCGACGTCATCTAGACATGTACGAAGAATCACGCGGCGATGGTGTTCTGGATTTTGCTGCGTGATATGGCTTTCAATCTCCTTTTCGTGTCGAGCATTATCAGCGTTGTTACTGTTGATTATTTTGAGGACCACTGTTCGCTCAGATTGCCATTTAAGTCTTATTTGAGTGGACCATGGTCAGTTTCTCTGTAGTCAAACGAAGCATGAAAGCACATTTACGGACGCGTGTAGCTACCTTGCAATGTCTCGGGCGAGCCATACGGTTGATTGTGATCCCCAGCCGACTTTGACAAGTAATTGAAACCTCTCTGCCAGTACTTCCCCAGGATTTGCTGGGTAAAAACTCGCGGAAGTGTAGCCTGGACAGAGCTCCTCGTCGACAGGCTCCTGCTGAGGAATTGGAGGCTCCGCGGTAGATGGCACCTGCCAGAGCGACTTTGTGGCAAAGGTGAACATGGTACGTCGTGATGTCCAGGTCAGCCATTGAAGAGGTAACATTACTCCATCTGAGCGTTATGAACTCAAAGTTAAATTTAAAAGTTAATCCTGGATTGACGGTGGATTGGGTTTTAAATGATGTACATATGATTACTCGGTTTGATTACACACAAGTCAAAGGGTAGAGATACGGAACTTCGAGGTGGGTGGGTTACCTGACTATGTTTGGACTTGGGCACCCATGGCGTAAACCTCATCCCAGGCGGGCCCGGTGATTTGTCGATGACCATTCCTGCGGGGACCGTCGGTCGTACTCCGTACTGTAACTCGTCTGAGATCTTGCCCGCTGAATGGCCATCGCATACTCCGTACTTGACCGCTGATAGCGCCTGTCGGTTCCTTCTTGGAAAACCCGATCGGTGGACCTTCAGTCTGAATATAGAGTTACTACATCCGCGGCAACCGATGGTGGGCACCTCTTGCGGTATAGATCCTCACGTTGTATATAAATAGTACATATGCTTGTTCCAGCTGAGCAGCAGAGCACGCATATCGCTCCATGGATGCCAACCCAAACTTACAGAGCTATCTATAAGTTCATTCCATATCCCAAGCAGGGAAATTATTCCTGCACTAAATTATATACCCTACATCTAATGAGAATAACATTATAGCACATGCTGTATTTTATAAGTGATAGGTCACAGTGCAGAGTACAGTAAAACCTCGTTATAACGAGCCTCGCTATAACGAGAACCTCGATATAACGAGATTTTTTCCTTGCTTCAATTAATTCTCCATATAAATAACGAGATCCCTCGCTACAGCGAGTCTCGTTAACTTTGCCTTATCTCCCATACAAAATCTCGTTATATCAAGGGGTTCTTATTAGCTAATATGCCTCAGAGGAAGCCTATCTCAACGTCCCAGAAGGCTGCTTTGCGAGCCCAAAAACGCCTCCATCCAAACGCAACACAGAAAGACCTTCGCAAATGGTTTCAGGAGACCTACGATCATACTCTTTCATCTGGTCTCATCTCTGATATCTTATCCCGCAAATACGACTATCTTGATGCCGATTCCCTCCCTACCCGCGATGCAAAGCGCCAACGCCGTGAGAACTGGCCAGAGCTAGAGAACGCCTTATTTGAGTGGATAATACGTGTGGAGGAACAAATACCTATCTCTGCAGAGATTATTCGACAAAAGGCTCAGTCTTTTTGGGAGAAGATCTACCCAGGGCAAGAGATGCCAACTTTCAGTAATGGATGGCTTCATAACTTCCAGACAAGGAGGTCAGTAAGATGGTATCGACATCATGGAGAGGAGGGAAGTGTTCCAGCTCAGGCAGATCAAGAGATGCTTGAGATTAAACAAGTCTTAAGTGCGTATAGCCTTAAGGACCAGTTTAACTGTGATGAGACTGGCCTCTTCTGGAAGCGGTCTCCTGCACGGAGTCTTTCAACACGTCAACTTCCAGGTCGAAAGAAAGATAAAGCACGGATAACGGCCCTCTTTTGTTGCAATGCGGATGGCTCTGAGAAGCTATTACCATGGTTTATTGGTACAGCGAAGAATCCACGAGCTTTCCAAGCTGCTGGTGTTAATATACGGAATCTGAATCTTATCTGGGCGGAGTAACCAGAAAGCCTGGATTACAACATCAATATTTACAGACTTTCTTCGTTGGTTTGATAAGCAGATGAGTGGACGGAATGTTGTCCTTCTTATGGATAACTTCTCTGCTCATCAAGCTGCTGTAACAGAGATTCAATCTAGTGGTTATCCACTACAGAATACTCTTATTATATGGCTTCCTGCGAACTCTACCAGCCGATACCAGCCTCTTGATCAAGGGATTATCCACTGTTGGAAGTCATACTGGAAACGATACTGGATTCGCTTCATCCTTCAAGAGTTTGAGCTTAATCGTGATCCAATTGCGTCAATGAACATTCTACGAGCGGTTCGATGGGGAATCCAGAGCTGGGAATTTGATCTTTCTGGGCAGGTAATCCAGAATTGCTTTCAAAAGGCACTAGATTCTCAACCATCATATCGAGAGCCTGTCGATCCAGCAGTTCTGGATGATATACAGAATGCTTTCTCTCTTCTTAAGCTCTCTACGCCTATCCAGGACCTAATGGATATTGATACCTTTCTGAACCCTGCAGAGGAAGCTGTCCAGGATACTCCTGAAGATATTGAGAGCCAGATTCTAGCTCAGTATGGGCCAGAGCTTGATGATGATTCTGAGGAGGAGCTTGAAATTCTACCACAAATATCACTTGATCAGGCATTGGAAGCACTAAGAACACTTCGTTTATATGAGGAGCAGCAGGCAGAGGGCATTCCTAGCCTTATATATGAGCTAGATAAGCATGAGCGTATCCTTTGGGGTCGAAAGCTGAGCCTACAGACTCAGCGAGATATTCGAAGCTATTTTACAGGCTAAATTATATATATCCTTGATATAACGAGAACCTCGTTATAACGAGAAATTTGGAATGTCTGGAATATCTCGTTATAACGAGGTTTTACTGTAATTAACTAATATCCATGTTACACAGTGGCTGGAAGTCTTGAAAACTAGTAAACTACACAGTGGAAGGTTCAATATGAATCTGCTAAAGAGAAGTGGGTCTCCTTACTTGAAAACTAAATAACCAGAGGCCCTAAATAATCACCTGTGCCAGCTCCAGATCCACTCTTACTCTGTCACAACCCACATCTTCCATAGATCTGCTGGGTGAACCGACCCACACAGTACTATAATTAATTTCTAATAAACTCCCTCTTAAATGGCTTCTTTGATCCTTTTGATCACTAGTTTGAAATTCACTAGGGCAGAGACTCTTAGTAAAGGGCTTTTTTGATCTGTTGCTAACCACTCTTTAGCCTTATATGCTATGGAAAATATAGGTCAGACTTTGTCCTAGAATAAATAGTAGACTTATGATTTACAGTGGCTCTCGCGCCCTGGTATACACTAACTAATAACTTAGTAGATATATACATGACTAATTAGTGTAAGATATAACTAACTTAACTAGTCCTCACTGTCTGAGTCAGGTGGAGGTATCTTAATTTTTGTCCAGATATCTCTGTGCTTGAACCCCTTATAGCACGCTCGACATTGTCTTCCAAATTCCAACCTCCTACTGTCTGGGTTGAGAAATGCGAATGGAACTGTAGCCATCTCTGACCGAAACAGAATCAAGAAAGATATTGAAAATTTAATTTAATAGCGAGATTAAACATTTTCTATTCTATAAGTCTGCGTACTCTTGAGGTGTGCAGAAGTTGTAGAGTTCCAAATACCGGCGGATAATACTGGCTGCCAATCAAAGTGACAATACTCGTGCTGACAGCGAACGCGGACCATATTGGCAAATTCAATTCGTTCCTTGAAAGCAACACATTGACAGGCTCGCGGTGCTGGGTAACCTGTCTACTGGGTTGCCTGGGTAGATAATCTTGCTCGCTCACTTTCGTATCATCTGTGTCTAGGTGTCCTATAACCCGGCAATCTTCTATGTTACATATGTACAAGATCTGGAGCTTAGCCAGAGTCTCATCATCTAAAGCCGCTGATTCTGATTCAGGGCCGTTCAATGGCATAATGCACCCATCTTCCGTCAGTCAGCGAGAAATATCCAAGTCATTAGCGAAAGCTTGGCTGCAGAAGGTTGGCTGCGGGTGATATATTATTGCCGAGTATGGGCTAAGGATATCTTCTTCACTATTGTGAAGGCCTTGCCGCAGTGGATGGTGTTGAGTTTGCACGTGGATAATTTCAAGGAGGAGGCGAAAAACAATAGGAAAGGGAATCGCTTTGGTTTATGAGAGCAGAGTACAATAACCTTCTGGACAGGGCCAGTGAAATAAATGGTACTGTGGCAGGGCGCTCAAGTCCATCCACCCACTGAAGATATTACTTGATGCATAAATGTCAGAATAGCAGGTCCAAGAGTTGATAACATCTGTCCCCTGCAAAACTTCAAATCCCATGTCTGAAATATCAGTCAAATTAAAATGTTGGGGCAACATCGGATGGCTGGCGGGCGGGACTGCAACAGGAGTGGCCGCGGCCATCTCAAAACCCCTCGCTGGCGATCCTGTGTATAAGTTGTACTGTCGGAAACCAATCCTGGAGCCATTTCAGCCATCCCGTGTAGTCAAATCCTGTCGTCTTCGGGTGCGAGAGTTGCACTCTCAGGAGCTGGCGCTCTATACAGACAGGACAAGATGAGGTTGAATCCGGAGTGAAGCCATTGGGTGTAGATCAACCGCCGCTCTGTGCCCAGTGGGCTTGATAGCAGGGCATCGAGCGAACTCTTGGCTGCAATGAGGCCTTGGCAGAGGATGTCTACTCGGAAGCTCGAGGAGAGCTGAGAGGTGAACTGTTTTTCAAAGAGGGTGACTTGACAGAGGTACAGGTTGACTGTGTGCAGCTGTGATGCTAGGAGAGCTGTGGGTAAAGGCGTCGGCTGAGAGTTATGCATGGCGGGCCAGTTATATTCGACTCACAGTTGTTGTGCGTCCATTGTGGGCTAAGCAGGGTGGTATAGTCCTGCAGCTGCGTTTGAAATGCCTGGAATGTATGCAGAAACGAGTCTGTATTGCTCCCTGTACCAACCCTATTTGTTCCCAGGAAATTAGAATCAGCGGAGATCCTATCAATCTGCTCGGCGATATGCTGTAGTCGGACGAGATGGATCAAAGACCGATCGCTGGCGACTTCAGGACTCTGAGCTAGCTCTGTCGCGAAATCTTCCAGGTGAGAGGACCAAGGAAAAGTACACTTTTTTTGGGTGATGAGGCTGGAGCATGAAGACAGCAGAAAGCAGCCGATTGCTGCCCTCTGCTGGGCGCGGAGGACAGCCGCTGGCTGTGCTTGCGTCGTGATTGTCTGGACGGTCATACGAGGAGAGCCCTTACGCAGATCAACCGGTCGATCCAACTCCAGCTCCACGACCAGTCCAATGGCGATATGGAGGTAGGTGAAGAAACCCTGGGGCCGGTACCGTCGCTTGGGGTGGTGCTGGGACTGGTGCTGCGACCATGAAAGAACTACAAGCAGTCCCTGCATGGTCTCTAAAGACGGCTGAACTGGCCCTAGGGCGGTGCGGTCGGCCAAGGCAGATCTCATCTCATCGTCGAGATCCCGTTGTAGCGTCTGGTTGTCGGTTGCGGAGACCGAGAGGATGGCGAGAAATAGGAACGGTTTGTGGTCTCGAAGCTCTCCGGCGGTGATGTCTGGGGGAAGAACGACGAATGGGAAGTGTGGGAGCATGGAATGACGAAATGAGTCGAGGAGTCCCGCAGCCTCGTCCAGTGTGATGACATCTCTGTCGACAATGTCGCCCTTCTTACTGTCTTGGACGCCATCCTTCTCTTGGTTCTGGCCCAGCAGTTCTGCGACTTTCCTCTCCAGTGATTCGAGGCGTCTGTCCCAGTCAGCGCTCCAACAAGGAAGCAGGAAGTGATAAATCGCGTACGTTTTTTTCTTGTGGCATCTCTGCCGCAGACGAGCAGGGCGAAAATAGCAAGACTTATTCGGGCGCAGACAACTGGGGGGATTAGCGTCAGCGTGGAGGATATCCAATCGGGTGAAGACTCGCCGGTCGCAGATGGCTGAGGCAGCTTTGCGTGTGCACCGGATCTTGGCCGCTGCGCAGGTCTCGCAAGTCTTAATACGAGATGGACAGGCAGACATGATTCAAGTTTTTCAGTCCTGCTGTAGGAGATTGAGACGGACACGGACACAGAGACAGACGAGCAGATATAAGTAGTGGGCGAATAACGGTGTCGCCTGATATGGACACGGACACGGACTCGGACTTGGGCTTGGCTTGGAGAGGACAGCCTTGTATATTTGCAGGATTAGGGATTGGCTGTAGTTGATATAGGGAATATAAGAATATAAAGCTCAGCTGCTGCTTCGAGATGAGTCCCAAACAGTCACAGAAGCTCATCAAGCAATCACGCTCATCATGGATCCTGGACTTTGTGCTCTCGATACCTGTCCCATAGAGAATGCCTACATCCATTACCAGCCCACCATCCCGGGCAACAGTGTCTACCTGGCACTGTTCGGCATCCTCCTCCTCACTCAACTCATCCAGTCCTTTTTCTTCCATATATAGGGATTTGCCAGAGCTATAGCAGCTAGTCTAATCCTTAAAGTAGCAGGATACATCAGGCACATTCTCTAGTATGGGAATCCTTTCAGCTTCAACTACTTTCTCTTATAAGTCTATAATGAAGAGCAGGCTAGGAACTTACTAACTTAAGAAGAAACTTAATTTATCTTAGTCTTAGACCAGTCTTCTTCTGTGCTGCCCTCTACCTACTCCTCGGCCAGATCATCATCCTCTACCACGGCGAAGACGTCTCGCGGCTTAAACCCAGAAACTATGCCATCTTCTTCGTTTCGTGCGATGTCATCGCGCTCATCCTGCAGAGCGCCGGTGGAGCCCTTACCTCTACGGCCGAAGATGCAGATGGTCGACAAATGGGATTGAACGTCATGATTGCCGGTCTAGCGTTCCAGGTTGCTGCACTGACGCTTTTCATCGCCCTAGCTTCGGAGTTTGCAATCCGTCTACGACGTCGAAATCTCAAGGGAGAATATCAGATTTCTGACAGTGCATCCTTAAGGAAGGACGATTATGCCGCGATCCGGGGAAAGAAAACGTGGAAGCTCTTCCTCTTCTGAACGCCACCTGCCCTTTGCCTGATGAATGAAGCTAACAATGGCAGCCCTCGTTGTTGCGACTATCACGGTCTATACTCGGTCCAATTTTCGAGTGGCTGAGCTGAACGGCGGTTATGACAGTGATCTGGCCAACGACGAGGTAACATTCGTGATTTTGGAAGAAGCGATGGTTTCGATTACCTGCCTTTGCTTAACAATCATGCATCCTGGGATGTACCTGGAGAGCCGAAACAAGCGCAAGAGTGTTCTCTGTGAGGACGTTGCCATGCTATCAATGAGGTAAAGAGGAACATTGGGACTGACAGGGTGGACGACGCGAAGAAACGAAGATCGCTATTCGATCTTTCACTTTTCTTAGACTATGCTGTATCAAAAGAGCTCCAATTGTAGGTAATTCGATGGATCTGGACGGCCCCAGTTGCACTATCCCAATGTATTCCTGATTGGAAATAGATGCTATAACATGGCAGATTCCGTGTTACCATGAACTACAGCTCCAATTCTAAACTCCTCGCCTCTATAACATAACAATAGTCAAGCTCAGCAGTCCTTATAGTTTTCTTAACGACTACAGCAAAGGCGCTCATCCCCGCCTGCTGGAAGCTCTTATCTGCACCAACTTCATTCAACAAACGGGGTATGACACCAACAAATATACCCGAGAAGCACGTCAATTACTTCTCTCTCAGCTCAATGCGACCAAGGGTGAGGTTGCCTGTCGCTTTGTCCTCAGCAGCACATCAGCAGATCTTATATCCATCGTCAGTTGCCTCCGTCCGTATGAGGCAGTAGTTGTGGTGCAGACGGGATATATCCTCGACAAGGAGTCAGGCACAATTGAAGCGACGGGGCATAAAATAGTCACTGGCCCTGGTGTACCGGGGAATGAGTCACCCTAGAAGTTTCGAGCAGTTTTTGACTAGAACACGTTTTTACCACACATGACCGAACCAGGGAGCTGAGGATAATCTGCTCAAACAAGAACTTTAATGACTCCTATACATGCCGTCGGCGAGGCCTACCAGTACTCATTGACGGAGCAAGATTGGGTATAGCTTAGCTTCAGGAGGGAATGATGTTACTCTGCACGATCTGATGGATTCCACAGACCCATTCCAGATCAGAGGGACGAAGATGGGAGCACTCTTTAGCGGCAACTGTCATGCGGAGGTCAATACTCGGAGGATTTGAGTTTCATATGAAGCATCAGGGACATTACTAGGGACATCAAGGGTTCTGGGAGTTCAGACGTAAGCGGTAAATATCTCCTAGTGATCCTTAGACAAGTCGCTCAACCGATTACACTGCGACAGGTGTGCAGTCTTGCCTCCAATCAGCGTGGCGATGGTAACTGCTGATAATAAAAGTATCAATATCGATGCAAGTGATAAACGTCTCAGCTTGCGAAAACTGGTTGACATATAAGTTGATTCTTGACATGATTTCTACCGCCCAGTTTTTACTGGTGATATGCTAAAGTAGAACGCGATGAAATACATTTACGGTTTTCTCTGATCCGGCCGCCGTCAGGCGGGCTTGTCGTGCAGCTTGTGCATGTTTAAGCCCAAGCCAGCGCCGGGTTGAGTTTGACTTAGCACAGACACCGGCCACTCTGGCAATCTTATCCTTGCGATAATGGCAATTGACACGTAAGCTACGTAGCCTGCGTTATGGAATCAAGGTAGTGAACTGCGGGCGCGTGACAGTCAGAAATCTGGCTCCGCTCAACATTTGCCTCGAGTGATCAAAACCAACGGCCCGTTTGGCTCAGTTGTTGCATTACACGAAGGCTAGCTGGGGTAGATACAATGTCCACGGAAGGGATAAGTGTTGCAATTTTTTTTTTCCTTGCTTGGAACAGTAGCTGGTTGAGCCGACATACACGCCGGTACGATAACATGCCGGCCGAAATGCTACAGCCCTTGCGTACCCCTGGCGTCTCTCCTTGCCTGACGATTATAACAGTGTACACCCACATAACTGAGATAATCTGACTTCGCCCAAGGAAAGATCGTCCCCACTACTAGTGCGTGGGAGAGGTCTCTATTTCTACTCCACGACATCTCCGTCGGCGGAAATACTCTTGAATTCAAGTTAGCTACCTCTAGTCTACCATTTGCTCAAAATGACCGTCACACCTCCTCTCATCACTGTCTTCGGCGCGACCGGTAATCAAGGCGGTGCCGTCGCTCGATCCCTGCTCCAGAACCCAGCTTTCAAAGTTCGAGCTCTGACTCGCGATCCCAACTCCCCAGCAAGCCGTGCTTTGGCGGCACAAAGGGCAGAAGTACATCAGGCGGATGGCTTTAGCAGGGAATCCATGTTGAAAGCATTTGCTGGATCCTGGGGCGTTTTTGTAAATATCAACTCCGATGACAAGGTAAGTTAAATGGATGCTCAAAAAAGTAGGTTTGTGGAGACTAATCACTTGCAGGCCTTTAAACTGAAGGGACTGAGCGAGTTCGACATGGGAAAGACGATTGTGGATTCTGCGGCACAGGCCGGAGTCCGCCATTTCATCTTTAGCAGCGGTCCCGACTGCTTCACCCTTACTGGGGGTAAGGTCAAGATGAATGCGGCAGACAGTAAGTCACTTCGCACTCCAGCACCAGTGCAGCACTAACTTCAAGCAGTGAAGTATAAGATCGAACAATACGCCAGGAGCATTAGCTGCTTTGAGACGGTCAGCTTCATCTGTGCTTCCTGGTTCTTCGAAAACTTTCTGGCCAAAGAGATTGCCCCTGTTTTCGGCGGGTTCCCCTTCATCCCGGATGCTGAGGGATACCTCACGCTGGTCGCTCCTAAATGGGGCGGAAAGGAGGACGTCCCTTTCATTAGCATGTCTGACGACTTTGGCGACATTGTCCAGGGCATGTTCCTTGATCCTATAGCGGTGAACGGCCAGGTTATCCACGGCTGCAGCGACATCTGCAGCTTTGAGGATCTGGTATCTACATTTGAGAAGATCAGCGGACGTAAATCTCGCTTTAGGCCGCTGCCGTCGTGGGAGGCGTTCAATACGTTCGGGATTCCGGAGTTGGATGATACAAAGGCAATGTTCGGCTTTACGCAGAACAACCAGGGACGCTACTTCGGCCCTGAACCCTCTGAGAAGGACACGCCTGGAAAACTTAAGCTCAAGACCGCTGTGGCATTGGGGCGGCTCGGGGACGAGCAACAGTTGATGACTGTTGAGGGGTGGTTCCAAAAGCACTTTCCGTTAAAATAGTCTCTATTCTATCCCCACTAACAGTATCCACCGAGAGAATATGTCCAATCCAAGTAGATAGGAAGTATTCCAGTCAACACTCGTCATATACTGGACTAGAGACATGTGGCCCCCAGTGCAAGAAGTCTGATTGATGATGAAAACAGTCAAGGGATTGCCTAATGATAGAATTCGTATAGTGCTCTTTGGGCTTGACCGATCGACTACCGACAAATACCCCGAGGAGGTCCAGACGCCGTGTCTGGCGGTGATAATGAGGATCAGAGTTAGATCTGTAATATCTCGATGGTTGGACCTACATGACAACATCTCGGCGTTCTACCGCGAAAACACTTTTGGGATTTTCCTTGCTTCACGATGTGTGATCAGTCCAGACTACGTGGGCTTTCTTAACTTCTGGAGAGACATAGAGCCGTCGAATAGATATTGGTGACCGCACCTTCACTTAACTTCCCCTTCTGCAGATTTCAGGTGATAGACTGGCGACCCAAGGCCTTTCCCCCATCGCCGCCGGCCAGGCTTCCCACTTGCTCGATCGAGACTTCATCCTCTGGTCGAATGCCGTGCACATCCTCCTGTTGCCTTGTGACACCGGCCAATAGACAGATATGGACAAGCATGTACACCAGGAAGACTACACCCGCCACGACCGCATAGACAATTAATCCTGCCCTCCATGACCTCGTGCCGGAACCCACCCACCAAAACCCCAATCCGCCGTTGATCATGCCGAGGACAATCATCGTCCTACCCAGCCACCGATGCCCATACGCAAACATGCTCTTGTTCCCCGTTCGCCTAAAATGTATGTGTTGCAGCCACCCAAGAGAAGGCTGCAATAGCAATAGGCTCGCTACGACAATCACTCCGATGATAGGATGTGCAGCAGGTGTGGTGCCGCCGTTCACCCACATTTTAACACCGAGGATGAATCCGGCTATCGTGATTAGCAAGGCGAGACCTTGTAATGGGGCGTGTACTTTGGTTATGGCGTGTCGATAGCTCGAGAGACGTACTAGCAGAGCGAAAAGTGGGTGGAGCAGGACGAAGGTAATGCCCATAAGGCAGCCGTGCGCGATGGCCATGATGAAATGGGCCGGAGACTCGGAGGTGGAGGGCTCGCTAATCAAGCGAGCATCCCTGAAGGGATCGCCATCATCACTCAAATCTGTTGAGCGCGCGTGGTTTAAGTCAACAACGACGGCCCCGAATGCATCATGGAAGTCGATCGTAGCCGTTACATTGTGCGTGTTCATGGGCGGCCCGTTCTTGTACGCCCATATCCAGCTGCTGGCAGATTCCGTCGCATTTGTTGTAACTTCTAGGCAGCTGTGGCATTGGAACCTCGCAATCATGGTCTCGTTCACGATGCCTGTTTTCGGGAGGATGGAAAAGCGGGCTTTTGGATTGTACTCTGGTGGAACATGGCCGGTCCCAGCACGCGGCGATACAGTGACCCCCTTCGGCGAAGACGCATAGACCAAGAACATATCCGCGCCGTCCATCTGGTCGCCTAGTCCTAGTGCAATCCACTCGACGGCAATCGGTGCTTCAATTTGGAGGAATATGGCAGGGTGATGAGATGCATTTGCGGAGTTTGCAACAGCGATCGTAAAGGAGATATCATCGCAGTCCGGGGGACGGAAGAGCACTGGAGTGCCATTTGCGCTTGCGACTAAGGTTATGGTTAACATAATGTTGCTCAATGGGCGCTGGTAGCTACATACGCAAAGTCAAGGCCACTGTGAGCCCCCTCGTCGTGCAGAGCTTCATAGTTTAGGCTAGCTATCGCGCTTCATCATCCAAGACGAGGGTGGGTTAGATACCAGACTAAAGTACGGCGCTACTTTCACTAACTGCTCGATCTAGTCTTCGCATCTCGTCCAAGTTTTGATCTCGCTCACAGGTCCCTTGCCTTTTTGTCCCACTCATTCTTAACAGGCGGTACCTCGGTGAGAAACACCTCGACCCTCACTCAACGAAGCGATATCCGTGTCATACGCACCCTCACCGCAGAATATTTCTGAGGGCAGTGATGATCATCTAGTGCTGATCATGCCCCCACCAGGGGAAGTGTGAGAGCGGCAGATCTACCTCAGACATAAACGCCTCCTGCGCGGCCCTTAAAGCTTCCTATCCACTTCTCCTTTGGCACCCGTATCAACCACGTCAATCAAGACCGCTATTAGGATGGATTGCACCATTAGGATGCGTGTCGCCAGCCACAAGCTAGGTATGTCTGGCAGCCGGGGGGGCCGGCGGTGTGCCGGACTCTATGGTGCATACGTTCCCCCAACTTCATGCAAGGGAACAATTCGAACTCCACCGCTCGGCTGGGAGGAACCTTGATATCTCCGTAATCCGTAATCCACAAGTTTACCGATGCTAGGGCGTCTGCTGCACCGTGGGAACCGGAAGTATGAAGTAGCTGCGGCAGATGAAAGTGTCCCACGCTTCGCTCGATGCCACCGAAGACGGTCACGGCATAGTCAGAGATCTGCAGCGAGGCTATCCATTGAAGACAAAGCGGCATTGTCACCTTGATGCATTAGTGGTGCCACGCAATCCTCTGGGCTGATATGAACACTCCCCTCCTCGCTTGCAAGTGAATTTCTCTGGTCCAGCAGTTTGCAAGCCCCCTGTACAATCTTGGCAAACCCTGCTCTCGCGCTAATGAGGCTATATTTGGCGTCATACTGCAAGCCAGGGGAATCCCCACAGCAACCTGGCAGTGAGTCAAGCAGGGCGCCATTTCCCGTACTCGATGACAATGACGTTAGGAGGCGTTGTGCCTGTATTACTCGCCATTGGTAGTCTATGATGAAATCTGTCGTAAAATGGAATCTACAGATATGGAATGCCATTCACTGTACATACAGTGCAAGTGATTTCGGAACCGAGTACGTCCGAAGGAGCCAGCATGAACTTCCATCACCCCGACCTTAGGGTTCTCTGCAATACCTGTACAGTGCCCTTTTCTGTATTATGCTTACAGAGCCTTGAACATGAGAAACCAAGCTGAGGCTGTCCCTGACAGCTTGTTTTTCGCCGAACCCCAGAGACCGTCAACCCTCCCCCGTACTAAACTAAACATATCATCTAGAGGAACAAGTATTCATCTCGAGAAAAGAAATAAAATCATATTTTGATATCGTTGTATTTGGTTATGCGGACCCAGCACACTTTCACACCCAGCTTGAGACGCAAGTATGGAAAGCACAAGGTTATGCCTTGTCCGCGGTCTGGAAGACGGAGGAAACAAATACTTCAAGATCGCCAGCAAATTCAAGCCCTCCCGCCCAAGCGATGTGCCGATCTGGGCGCACCAAAACGAGGCCGCCGTCGTTCCGGTTCAGCCTAGTCTGATCATACGCAGACCCCTCATCGAGGTAGATTGCCGTATAATCCCTCGCAGAGCGTTGAGGGCAAGGAGAGAAAAACTCAGGCAATTGCGCTAGTTCCACCTCCTCCCAATGCGCACAGTGAACAATTATTGCATGCTGTTGTCCGAACATCACGCTTTGTGTTTTCTCCAATACCTTGGCCAGTTTATGAATGCGCCTCATTTGGTCCGGCAGGGAAACATCCCCTGCAAAGACGATCACGTTCCAGCTTCCGTCTGCCTTAAGCGCACTGTTCAGGTAAAGGGACCTGCCCGTAGTGTGATGAGTTATGGACAACTCGGGTAAACATTCGCCGGCAGCGAATAGTCCAATTCCTTGCGCTGCAGTTGATGTTAACAGCTTGTCCGTATATCTGATCCCTCGACCGCCCAGGAAGATCCGCACATCATTGAGCCGTCCTAGCAGGATTGAAGATTCAAAGCCGGATCTGGTATTAAAGAGCTCAAGTGTTGTTCGGTCTGCCTCGAGTAGTTGCCTGGCCACAGCTCCACGTTCTGTGTCATAGGTTGTCAGGATAGCGGATTCGAGATGGCCTTTGATGACACCGGCGAGTTTCCAAGCAAGATTGTATGAGTCCCTTGCCTGTTAGTGCAGATCAATAAGAGACATATGCCACTTACTGGATGCTCGTGTTCATTCCCATCCCGGTGACCGGCGAGTGGGTGTGAATTGCGTCCCCGACAAGAAAGACTCGCTGGTGTTTACTTAATGAACTGCTCAGCTTTTGTGATGCTGTAAAGGCGGACCACCTGGTAAAGTCAGCTTTGTATTTACGGCAAGAGTTCGTACGACCGACCAGACCCAGTAATAGGCCTCTAGCTAGAGGCAGGACAGCATTAGCACCATTTGCACATACTGGACCGGTCTCTCACCTTGTACGGCCGAATGATAAATCGGCACTTTTCAATAATGAGCTCTGGCGTGATATCTGCGCGGCGCAGGCCTTCCCACGCCTGTCCCTTGTTCAACTGCACGTACATGCGTACAAGCCCTTTCTCCCGGGGGACGAAGTCAATAGCACCGTCAGTATCACTTCGTATAATCGATGTTGCTCCAAAGCTGGCCACAAATTAGCCCTCAATAGACTAACTCAGTCCGAGAATCTCACTCTGGAAAGTCCGAACTTCCCGCGAAGTCCATCACACCCCATATCGAGGTCCCCTTAACTCCTTGCATGCTAATATCAAGTGATTCTCTCGTCAAAGACTTTGCCCCGTCGGCACCAATCACGTACTTGGCTGAGACCATCTCGTTGGGGGTGTTCTCCCCTTGGAGCCGTTGAAGTTGAGCCGTGCAGGGGTAAGCCGCTGGGGAGACAAGTTGCTTGGAATCGATACTCAACTCGCACAAAGATGTGTGGTATTCGATGCTGGCACTTGAGATCTCAACAAGACGCTTTTTGATGATCTCCTCCACAGTTCCCTGCTGTAACGTTCCATGTGTCCACCTACGCAGAACTCAGTGTGCGTACTTTGATTTCATTCATTAATCTCACGCACCGAACCCCAGGAGTGGGTTGGCTGGGTTGCCTGGTTGTTCTGATCAGCTTCCCATCCTGTCTCCGGCACCACATGGTCAGGTGTGTCGCGGGCTCCCAGAGCTTGGTGACTCGATCGTGAATTTGCCAGGCCTCGAAGATCTCCATAGTCTTGGGATTGAGCCTGAGGTGGCGCAATTAATTAGTGAACTCTGCCTTTTCTGGAAGAGGTCTCACCCGTCCGCTTGTCCTACTCGGGGTTCATCAGAGCGTTTGTCGATAATGCGAAAGTTGATACCCAGCTGGGCCAGCCATAATGCAGCAGCTAACCTGGAAGTATTGTTACCATCGTGATGCAACAAGTAGGATGTATGCAGTTAAAGATCTTGCCCTGAAGGCCCCTGCCTCTAAAGGTTAGCTTTTTTTCACGGTGAGAATGGCTGGATGAAAACTTACTGCTCCGACAATCAGGACGTCAATAGGGTTTCCCAGGGCCAACATGATTGTCAAGTCTGACCAGATAGCCCAACAGAAAAAGTACACAGAAACCAAATATATCTCTTCTCTTTATTGGTACGAGTTCCGAAGTGAGTGTGCGGGGAGACATGCGCAAATACCAACCATGTGATGTCTGGCTTTCATATACAGGAGCAGTTTACTTCTATTTAATCTGTGAAATGTCTAGTTAACTGCCTAATTACAAGGATGCTGCGAAAGGCTGGGTGTTTCATCGGGTGACCTTGCCCGGTATTTCACATGCAAAGCTGACAAGGGTGCGTTCGGCGACTTCAACTTTCGGCAGGCTTTCCTAGAGTGGCTCGATGTGGACAGCCTCGTAACGGGCAGGGAGGGCACACATGGAGACAAGGAGACAAAAGGAGTGCCAATGTCTAGACAAGGCCATTTAACAGTTTAGATGTGATAGCATGCCCCATACCGAGTCAATGCACACTCGGCGCACTTGGGACAAGTTTACATACAACATACCCAGCCCGTGATTCCAACGTACGTCTTCTTCATCGCCCTCATGAAATACAACAGTTACAGAAGGTTTGCTAAGGTTCCTGGTTGCCAGCGCCTTTGTGGAGCCGGCCAACTCGGTAATTTAGAGCTCAGATGGTTTATAAACGTTATTCTCGCGCAGCCTATCCAACAACCCAACTTGATAGTGCCCAATTGTACCTTCGGCGATAGCTAGCTGCTAATTGGTAGAGGCAATATGGACGTCTGTAATAACGAAGAGGGGATTCTCCTCGAAGAGAGGAGTCAATGGTTTTCCCAAAACCATTGATCAACCTCAACCTCCTTGCCCTGCTGCATGTACAATGTGCATATACAATAAGTAGGAGACATGAACATTACTTGGTATCCTACGCCGCATAATGATCACAGTTGTCCTCCTCTGATCCGGCCCTCTGAAACGGCAGTCAATCAATGGGCTACAAACATGCGTTGAATGACCGTGACTGTCGTGTCCTCTTCCATTTGCGGCGAAGATTGCGAAGAAGGCAGTGGGAGATGTTCAACGCGAGGCCGGCATTTTGTGCGACTCTGCAGGCTGACGCGGTCACTATGCAAGGCTTTGGAATGTCTTGCTGTGTTTTCCTGCCGAGCCATGTACCACCCTAGACCCTTCTTGTCATGCAACCCTATTCGTCGCAATTTGTAGCCTTGTTCTAACTGTCGAAAAATCGGTCTGAATGTTATTGCGCAAGCTGGGAGTCATGCGCGTTTGGTTGGTGCTCTCGTTCTGACACAGGCTGTAAACTACTCAGTGTATCATGGAGCTCCAGCACACAGAAAGGCACGTAAGGTCTATGACAGAAGATCAGGCTGCTCAGGTATTGGAAAGCTGTGGTCATTCTCCATTACTGGTCGTCTATGCCGCCCCTCAAGGGGTCGTCTTTACGTCTTGGGGCAATTGATAACCTACCCCGATGGAATCCTGGCTGTGTCCCCTATCCGATGAGCAGGTCCGGAAGCATGCGGAGGAGGTAATAGCCCGGTGTTAAGACACTCGGTCTCCGAGCTCATTGCGACTGACAGCGTCTATCCAGGGCTGTTGACTAGGGAGCGGAACGTTCGTGTAACTCTAATCGCTGTGGTAGTGCCTTTGCTCTGCAGTCGACTCTCGCCAAATTTGCAAGGCATCCTGCTGTCCAGGTATCTGGTATCTTAAGATCCAAATCCGCAGAAAGCCTAGTAGCGGATTACCCAATCAGGATAGCCGTAAATACACTGGATTCAAAAATTTCACATGCCGCTGTAGTTTCGTTGCATGGGAATGATCGTCCCATCCGCAAGAAGGGCGTATCATGATCTCAGCCATGGTGGGGATTCCGATCTGCCTCCCGCCGATTACACGTTGCGGTGGTGAGGAAACATTCTGTTTGGTTGCAAATAGCGTATTTTCCAGCGGTGAGGAGGATGCTTATCTGCAGGAATGAATCAAACTGGCTAAAGCTGCCGCTCAAGGTCTGGAAGTGGTAACTCGCTGGCACATCACACGCCTTGGACGTATGTAGGGGACTTCAGAGACGAGCCAAGGAGGTTCAAGGATAGCTCCTAGGTATGAAATATGAACAACGTAGCATGGTCACTATCTGGTCAGCAAGTCCTCCGCGTTGCCTAATGTGTTGCTCTATCCTTCCGTCACTGTCTGTGCAAACTCAAATACGTTCCAAACGTCATCATTAGTTCTCAATGGGTTCAATTCTTCCTGATGTGTCCGAGTACGACAGAGTCATCTCCAATGGTGAAGGACTCGGCCAGATCTTCTATCAGCGGATGCTAGAAGACCCAGAGGCTGTCGCAATCATTGACGAGCAGAGCAAAAGCCTGTCATACCGTGCTATCCATGAAAAGGCAACCGATCTGGCGCGGACGCTCGTCGAGCACGAGTCCAGCCCTGGAGACCGGGTCGGGGTTATTGTTGATCATGGGCTTTGGGACCCGGTCACGCAAGTGGCTATAATCTACGCTGGCGGTACCTGTGTGCCCATCGATCCTCTATTGCCCGATCAGCAGATTAAAAGCCGTTTGATGAGGTTGGGCGTTCGACATATTCTTGTCGATGAAGCCAATGCGAAGCGAGACCTGCCGTTTGCTTCGTTCGTGGTGACCGATGGTCGCAATGAATCGACCGATGCAGGCGAAGGAGGACACTTTCCGATGGCCACGAGCGTCGATCACTGCTCGCATCTTATCCACACCTCAGGCACCACCAGCGAGCCGAAGGCTGTGCAGATAGCTGCGCGATCAATCATCCATGTCGCACACCACGCACCTTACGAACCCGTCCGCAAGTCGGATGTGGTCGGCCACCCGAACAAGACGAGCTTCGACGTCGCCCTGTTTGACATCTGGGGCGCTCTACTACGCGGTGCGGCCGTGGGTGTGCTGAGCAAAGCAACGCTTCTGGACAGTGCTGCACTTGCCGCAGCAATCCGGAGGCTTGGGATTACGATTACCGCCATCACGACGCCGTTGGTCAACCTGGCGGCGACGACGTACCCGACGACCTTTGCGCCACTCCGGGCGGTCCTCATGGGCGGCGAAGCAGTCAATCTCCGTGCGATGGAGGCCATTCTGACTGCAGGACCTCCTCAGCACCTGATGAATGCGTATGGCCCAACTGAATGTTGCGTCTACTGCCTCACGCATGAGATTACATTCGACGACGTTCGTGCGGGCAAGGTCAGTGTAGGGAAGACAATCGGCCGCAACGTCTGTTGTGTGTGTGATGAAGACGGCAATCCCGTACCGGCGGGCGAAGAGGGCGAACTCCTCGTTGGAGGACCGGGGGTTTCGCCTGGTTATGTCGACCAGCCGGAGAAAAATGCAAAGACCTTCGTGGCAGTCCCCGGCATGATCGACCCCGAGTCCAACCAGCCCTACCGCATGTACCGGACCGGCGACCTGGTTCGCCAGCGTCCCGATGGTCAGCATGATTTCCTGGGTCGTCGCGATGAACAGGTTAAGATTCGTGGGTTCCGAGTTGAGCTCGCTGCTGTCCGTTCGGTTCTCATGAACACGGGCCACTTTGCCGAAGTCTTTGCCATGGCCATGAATTCACAGGCGGCAGGAGCCGGTGCGACTCTGGTTGCCTTTGCCGTCCTGCGCGCCAACTCAGCTAAGAATGCCGTGGCCGACGCGGTGGAGGTTGCGAAGGCAGTTCTTCCTGACTTTATGGTGCCTCACATCGAGGTGATTACAGAAATGCCTCTGAACGCGCACGCAAAAATAGATCGCAAGAAACTGGAGGCTCTGTATAACCAGCGGCGCGAGAGACTGCTTGAGAAAATCACCGGTAGCAGGAAAGAGAAGGTGATGAGCACACGCCAGCAGATCGCCAGCATATGGGCGATGATATTGGCCACCCCGGTTCCCGAGTACGCTGACGAGGACGACTTTTTCGCCCTGGGGGGCACCTCCCTGCAGGCATCTTTGCTGATTACCCACATTAGGCAGCAGCTCAGCACCGAGATCTCGCTGCTCACTCTGTACGATCATCCCACCATTGGCGAGTTGGCCGCTATCGTGGACAAACACCGAGGCTCATCCATGGCCACCATCCGCGACGAACAAGACATGCTGGCTGCCGACATAAAGCTTGGGGATGATTTGAAGCTTCCCCAGGAACCAGTGGTTGACTGGCGTCGAGATACAGAAGGTAGAGTCTTTCTGACTGGCGCCACCGGCTTCGTGGGCGCATTCTACCTGGAAGCCCTCCTCCTGATGCCCGGTGTGCATCAGGTCGGCTGTCTTGTGCGTGCAGCAACCCCCGCCAAAGGTTTCCAGCGGATTCGCGCTGCTCTTGTCAAGTACGGGCTCTGGCAGGATCCCTTCTCGAGCAAGATCCTCCCACTGTGTGGCAATCTCCAGGATCACTGGCTGGGAATGGGCGAGGAGCGGTTCCAAGAGATTGCAAGGTGGAGCAGCGTAATTTTTCACTTGGGTGCCCTTGTCAACTACACGAAGCCCTACTCGCTCCATCGGCCAGCCAATGTCATTGGAACGGCGAATATTGCTCGCTTTGCCGTCACCGGTCGTCCCAAGGGCCTCCATTACTGCTCCAGCATCTCGTGCTTTGGGCCAACCGGGTTTGTGAATGGAGCTAAAGTCATCTACGAGGATGCCTCGCTGCTCCCCCATCTACCTGCTCTGCCGTATGATCACGGATATGCTCAGAGCCAATGGGCTGCCGACGCCCTCCTCCAGCGCCAGATCAACCGCGGCTTCCCCATCGCCATTTACCGTCCCGGGTTTATCACCGGCGACTCCAAGACCGGTGTCTGCAACCCGGACGACTTCTTCAGCAGACTGATTCGCGCCGGCCTCGACCTCGGGTGCTACCCTGACCTGCCAGACCAGCGCAAGGAATTCGTGCCCGTTGACTATGTCGTCGCCGCAATGCTCCACATTTCTTGCTCCGTCTTCTCCATGGGCCATGCCTTCCATCTGCTGCCAAGCCGTGCAGCCTCCGTTGACATGACCGAGACCATGGAGTTACTTGGCCAGGTGCGTGGGACGGCCATCAAACGGCTGAGCTACGAGCAGTGGATCGAGCGACTGTCGGCGACTTCCCATGCCAGCCTCCAGCCACTTCTGCCCATGCTGGCAGAAAAGGTCCGCGATGGACTTAGCCGCTGGGAGTTGTATGAGAAAATGCCCGTCTACGACGCTACTAATACCCGGCGCGCCCTTGCTATGCTCCCGTCACCACCCGAGTGTCCGCCCTTTGACCGTGCCTTGGTGAAGAAGTATGTCGATTATCTGTACGCGATTGAAAAGGGTCAACTTTAGACTGCCTGTACGAACTCCTTCTGCCGCGTACTTGGATTCAAGTAGAATAAATTGTTATTCGTTTGCGTCAAAGTACTCATCTACGTACCAGAATCCATTGTCAGTAGAGAGCCCACATGTATGAGGCAGCCCGTAAGAATATATATATTCACCAGTAGTCTGTTCCAACACGTCAATATTCAGAGAACAAGTAGTACCATGAAATGAACTCCTTTGTAAAATGAACAAACAGACTAGGACAGGCAATTTCATACAAAGGACTGGTACTGTCTAAGTATCATGCAGGCAGTTGTCTCTTGCGCACCGAGATCCAGCGTACCGGCAATGCCCCCAGGAGCGCAATAGCAATCATGGCAACACCCATATAGAATAGCTGAATAATGGCAGCATTGTACGCTCTCAGAAAAATTGGAACCACTTCTGGCGCGGATTTCTCTCGCAGAATTGTTGGACCCGCCCTTGCGACCTCGCCCGCATCAACATCAGCACTCCGACGGCCCAGTTGCGCAGCAGGCGGTTATGGAAGACTGTCTGCGCGCGACTGAAACAAAATCCATTTGGAAGAACAATACAATCGCCATGGCACTAGGCAGGTCGAGTGGCGCCACCGTCGCCTGGACAGCTGTTACGGGCAGTTGGATCGCCATGCCCGCTCCGATCTCGTACATTGCTTCCCAATCCACTAAGAATGGCCAGAGTTCACCTGGAGCGTTGTAAGTATGCCGCTAACGATTGCGGTAACGACCGGAGCCAGCAGTATGAATGGTGCGTAGTATCCGATTCTGCTTACGAGCGCGCCAGTGAGGATGGAACTAGGCCTCGGAGGCGCTAGACTCGGACGTCAGCGCCCTTGGTTTCTCGGTGAATGTGTTAATTTATTTCTGATCTGACATATGATCCAGAACAGTAAAGCCAGCAGACGAGTGATACACCAGAGGACAAATGTATTAGGTTAGGGAGTGGTGATGTGTTATTGAGCGCTTGTAAAATCGGTCAATGCGCTGGGCAGGATTTGGGCTTTAGGAGATCGGTCGCAGTGCGGACTACAAGCAGCTGTTTTGTTAAAGCAGAAGGGTCAAATGGGCAAGAGGGTCCTACGGGCTTAAGCCAGGAGGAAAGAAGGAGTCCAGAGTTACCCAATTGACCTGGGCCACACCATTAATCACGCACTTATGCAAGAATGGAGGTCATAAACTCGAGCCCTGGGTCTGCCGCAGGGGATATTCGGAGAATCACGGTACTAACAAGTTTGAAAACCATGTTTAATGAATGTAGAGACCAAACTACAGGAATATGACAACTCAGTAGCCCTGATCGCGCGGGAGTATCTTGATGATCACATTTGAACGCGGTGTCGCCACAAAGTGATCGTGCCAATCCAAGCTCTGAGGGATCGGCTCGCAGAGTTGGATCTGATAATGGCTAAACAAATGTCCCAGAGTGACCTGCAGTTGCAGTTGCGCGAGGCTGGAAGGCAGTTCAGTTAGGCTTAGGCCGAGAGGAGACAAAAGGGAGGCTTACTTGATGCCGATACACGCGCGGCTGCCACGGCTGTAGGGATTCAAGTAACGATCTTGCTCGGAGCTGTGACCTTCGAGCCACCTTTCAGGTCGGAATTCATGTGGCTGCGGAAAGATGGTTTCGTTGAAATGGAGCATATAGTGTGACGCTGATATCACGCTCTATAGCCACATAAAGCATCAGCACAGTAACGTGTTTAAGGGCGAGTAATCAGACAGAGCCTTACGCCAGCAGGTACATAGTGCTTGCCCACTGTCAGTCCCTCAGCAGGAACAATTCGAGGTAACGGTCCAGGCAGAGCGGGCCACATCCGATGAGCTTCTTTGATCACAGCATTCTGTAAAGCAGTCATCAGTTCCTCCGCTCATCTGATAGACTGGGAGCTATCCTACCAGGTACGGAAGTGTTCCGAGTAGCTTCACATCTACATGTTTCCCTGCTTGATCCGTAACAGAGGACTCATCAAGCTCGGCGCGCAGCTTCTGTTGTACACCAGGGTTCCGGACAATATAGTATGCTGCAGCGATTGTTCTTCCACTCGTATCTACTCCGGCGTCGATGAAGGTGAAGGTCTCTTCGGTGAGGTATTGCAATGTTGGCGCTTTACCTTGCACTTGATGGGAATGTGCGATCAGCAGCTCGATCAACGACGCGTGGCTGCGATCCATGGCATCACTAATTGGCTGATCCATCCGGGGCAGGGTATGTTCCTTGCATTTCTAGCTGTTGTCAATACTAATGACTGGACGGTGCACCATGGCAGAGTAGCATGACCGACCTGCTTGAAGTTGTAAACCCCAGCGGGCTCAAGCCGTTCGGAGATTGAAGTAGAAAACATGGACGCAACGGTGCCCAGGTAAGGGAAAAACCGTACTGCCGTGGTCAGCAACCAAGGAAGATATGGCCAAAGAAGACATACACCACGGAATAAGCGAGGAGAGGTTGTCAACGCTGTCCAACAGCGCCGGTTTACTCGGCCCGTATTCAACAAGGTCGCCACAGTCGCCGAATAGAATCTCTCCAACCACGTTAATCTGCCAATCAGACAGTCAGTCTTGATATACCAGCGAAGAGCAGGGAGGTGAAAAGACCATCAATGCCCTGAACAAGTCGGTCGCATCGCATGTGTTTCCCATTCGAGTCTGGTCGGTCATATAATCGACCAGTTGCTGTAACCTGCGCAACACCCCCGGAGCCCCGGCCTCTGCTGCTTGCTTGGAGAACCGCGGGCTCAGCACCTTTCGTCGCTCTCGGTGTTTGGCACGATCAGTAATGGAGAAGATTGATCCATCGTTATTGGCACAAGTGTAGAAGGTATGATCTTTGCAGAAGTCGGTTCCCATGCGGAAGATTCTAGAGTCGGGCTGTCGGCAACCGGCTTTTGTTGTTGATGGAGGCATTACTCACTTTTCATATATATCGATATCATTGACGTGGACATGATTGGGGCCAACCCGCACGATTGGAGAATCTGGAAATGCGGTGTTAAACCTTTTGTCCTGAGCAGCTGGATTTGTTTTGAAAAACTCACCATACTTCCTATGCAGCTCAGGGTATGTCTTACACCACTGGCCGTTCAAGACAATATTGGAGTAGAATTCGTCCCAGCCGCAAAAGGCGCTGAGCCGCGAGCCTGGAATATGCTTCAAGGGAGAGCGAAAGAAATTATGTCCCAACTTCAAAATGCAAAAAAGGATAATAAGTGCTGCGACGATCGGAAGGCTTTGGAGAATCACTCCAGCGTCAAGCTGGAGGGGGCTGCTGGGTGCGAAGTTCATCGTTGCCATGGTTCGACGTGGTTTACGGTTGCTGCTCTGCTTCTTCGAGGTAGAAAGGGCTATGTTAGCTCGAGTAATGGGGGTTTGGCCAGCCGGGGGATGATGCCCCCTGGTATCTGAGCTGGAGCAGGATTGTCGGTCACACAATCCGGTGGGTCAGAGGTTGGCCACAGGCAGTGAGGGGGGCCCCCCTTTCAGTCACATTCTCTTCCTTGATTTCTACTGTGCAGGCCGCTGGCTTGTCATGCCCCAAGTCAGTGATCAGGTCGTAGCCAAACCGGGATAGTACCGCCCAGGTGGGTTATGTATAATAATACGCCGCGAGTCCCCAAGCAAGTCATCGTGTGCTTCAGCTTTCGACCATTCTTACGATCTCCTCCCAATACGCAACGCCGAAAATGAAGGATCTTGTCATTGTCCCGCTCAATAAGGAGCAGGTCCTGCGAGCAGGAGAATACTGCGAGGAGTACAGTTTCCCTCTGCCGCCAATGCTGAAGGACCAACTCCGTGTGACGGAGGAGCTTTCGAAAGAGGAGAGCATTATGGCCATTTCCGCCCCCCAGTGCGCCTGGCTGATGAGCTTTACACAAGTCTTAAGACCTGCTCGAGGTCAGTATGGAATTTTACCAACGCAGATGTGCCACCAAACTGATTTTGCCTCCGCAATAGTGCTCGAGCTTGGGACCTTCACTGGTGTAAGCGCTCTCGCGCTTCACGAGGCCACGAGACAGACTGGGGCAGAAATCGTGACAGTCGACCTGTCGGAGAAGTATTTGAAGATTGCGGAAGATGCCTTCAAGCGACACGGTGCTACTGATCGAATTCGTGTCATCAAAGGAGATTGCCTCAAGGTGTAGGTACTCCAGTTGTCTTGCATATATGAACAACCACTGACTCACGTAGGCTTCATGAGTTGGAGGGCCAGTTTGATTTGATCTACATCGATGCTGAGGAGGATGAGTATGAAGCGTACATACGCTTGATCCTCGACCACAAGCTTCTGTCTCCGCGGGGAGCCCTCATTGTCGATGACAGTACGTGGTTCCCTTCCTCTTTCGACCGCAGCTAACTAACAGCTATGGTGCAGCTCTCCTAGAAGGCCTGGTCTTTGACCGCTCCATTTCAAAGAACTTCCCTGCAGAAATTCAAGAGCCGTATCTGGCAATTGCCGACAGGATGAATCTATTCAACCGCTTTGTTGCTTCTGACCCTCGCATCACCGCAACCCTGATCCCAGCCTTCAACGGCGTAACCCAGATTATGTGGAAGTAACCAAGATACAGTGGCACGGCAAAAGTTTGAATCCAGCGTATTTATCGCTAGGCCTGATTAGACAACTCCCTAGTATTTCTATCCGCAGATTTGAATCTCTCAATATCTCTCCTAATAATCAATATTATGGCACCACGCAAAGAATTATCTCCACAGATACGATCACGTATCTATAAGCTCTATCCAGAACTTGAGCACGCACCAGATACAGCAGATACACTTAAGCAGCTGGTCCAGGCAGCTAAGGAGGCATAGAATAATATTAATAGTCAAATACGAGAGAAGCTATCAGATACTATGCCTCATCATATGAAGGCAGTTATCAAGGCAAATGGCTGGTATACGAAGTATTAGATTCAAATCTACTACCTAAAGATATTATGGTTGCCTAATCAGGCCTACCGGTAAATACACTGGATTCAAACTTTTGTCGTGCCACTGTAGATTGAATGCCATTATCACTTATCTAGAATAGTTGGGCCAGCCTGCATAAGCAAGGGCCAAACTGCTCCACCTGGGTTGCATATCCTTCCTCCTAGTCCAGTCCTTGCTGGAGGATGCTCAAGGCCAACTAGCTCCGCACATCAATTGAAAACTCGTTACACACTCATTTTTAATGCACTGCCGGTGGCCCTCTCGTACAGCAAGGAGTGTCACCAGCATTCCAGTGCCCCTTACATTCGAGGGAGGGCATAGGGAACAGTTCATACTTCATAGCTGTTGGAATAGTTTTTATCTCGTTTGATAATGACATTCACCAGACTCTCCCCCGGATAGAGTCCACGACAAACTATTACAGGAATTCTGAGATTGCCGTTCGCTATGAAGCTGTTAGCCATCTCTTCGTTTTCGCTGTTGACAGCATTCTGGGGCACTTGCTCTGGCGCCGAGGTACAATGCACAAGAGAGACGGCAAATGTCAGGAAGGAATGGTATGGCTCAAAAGGACCATCTTTGATACCCATAATATGTCAATACTGACTGAGTCCCAGGGCGGCGTTGACTCCAACGGAACGCATAGACTATATCGATGCCCTTCACTGTCTCGCTGAAAAGCCCCCTGTCTACGACACTCAAACCTATCCCGGAGTACGCACCCGCTGGGATGATTTCGTGGCGTGCGTGTAGTCACTCCGACGTACTTGACATGAGGGTTTGCTAACGCAGAGCAGAACCCATATCAACTATACGCTCTACATCCATTTCAACGGGCTCCTGCTTCCGTGGCATCGCAACTTCATCCACCTCTGGGAAACCGCCTTGAGGGAGGAGTGCGGATATAAAGGATATCAACCGTATGTTTTCCTTCCGGCTGTCGCAATACACAGATGTCGTTTGATGCCAGCTTGCTGACGAAAGGCCGAAATAGCTACTGGGACTGGCCTTCGAACTCGCACGATCTCGCTAACAGCCCGCACTTTGATGGAAGCCCGACTTCGCTCTCTGGTGATGGAGAATACGACGAACATGCGGAGCGAGACCCAACCCTGCCCAAAGGCACCGGGGGCGGCTGCGTCCTCTCGGGGCCATTCAAAAACCACACGGTGAACATGGGCCCATTCTATGATGTCCCAAGTGGCGTATTCCCACCCAATGCCTTTGCCTACAACCCGCACTGCCTGCGTCGGGACCTGAACACGCGAGTTTCGGCGTACTGCAACAGCCCCGACGTTACCGCGGCCCTGCTTGCAGCGCCCAATATCACCGAGTTCCAGACCATTGTTGACAAGGGGCTCATGGGGGTTCACCTTAATGGTCCCCATGGTTGTGCGCATGCAAGCGTCGGGTCGGTCATGGGAGATCTCTGGGCGGCCGTGGCGGATCCCTCGTTCTTTCTGCATCATGCAAACTTGGACCGTATGTGGGCGTTGTGGCAGGAAAAGGATGAGGCGACGCGCAGGGTCGCCCTGAACGGCACTTCGAGCATCTACAATAGCCCCGAAACACCTGATGTGACGCTTGATTCTATTTTGCTGTACGGCAAGCTCGACCAGACGCGTCAGATCCGGGAGATGATGGACCCGATGGGGGGTAGGCTGTGTTACAGATACGAGTAGGCTGTCGACGTGCTTGATATAGTTGAGAGAAAATTGGAAAAAGGACCAGACTAAGTAGCTTAGATGAAGGAAGGACGAATACTGAAATTTAGATCTCGGTACACAACTAAATAAATCTCCCATACTGCTGGAAGTCCCTGTCGTTCTTCAGGCCCTCGATATCCCTGTCTTCCAGACACATTGCCAGCACGACCTGTCCGTCTGGACGCTTAGGCAGTGCATAGACGATGCCAGGGTCAGCAGGTGGCAATGGCAAACGCACCGCCTCTGGCTTCCCAAGGCCCATGTTGAAGTCCACGCCATACGCATCGACTTTGGAGAAGGAGCTGAACATGAGGTCAATGTTGGTTCTGATTGTGCCCATATAGTTCAGAATGCCCTTGTCAGTGGACCGATCAAGCATCGTCACCGCCGCACGCGTGATGGAGGCAAGCCGAGTCTTCTCGTGGTCCAGTTCTGAGCGAAGTCGGGATGCGGTCGTTCCCAAGGGCTCCCCAGCTAGGGCTTTCAATGTGGCAGTATCGTATACGCACATCGTCACCATTCCGGGGTGCTCCTCGGGGATGTCGAACAGGTGGCGGATATTGACCGCACGACTAAGGGTTGCCTCTTCATCAGGCCGGAGGCGGGAGATTCTGGCCCGAACAATGGCCTTCCACACAAACGCGGTCAGCGCATCGTCCGTCGAGATGAAGCCAAGATGTGTACTGAGGTCTCTTTCTGCGACACGCTTCAGAGTGGCAAGCGAGACGGCCTCGAATATAACGTTGACCCAACTGCTGGGAGTAAAATTGGCAGAAGGCCCCTGGGTGCTGTCAGCAGGCCGGGCAGGAGGAATGATGCGTCGGTATAGCTCCGGTCCCGGCTGGTATGAATCATCCAGGAACGGGATCAGACGGTATCGGGGAAGATTGGCGGCGGCGATTTCCTCAGCAGAAAACGGTTGCCCATGGCACGCTTTAGACAGAAGACGCAGGATCTGACCCATGCCAGGGTAGTCCATCGCTTGATGCTGGCCCGCCACGGTGAGCAGCAGCCCACCAGATATGAGGTTGGCCTGTATGAGTAGGACTGGCTTCGGACCCGTAATAGCGCCAGAATAGCTCGCGATGGGCGCTATCGCTTGCTCGTCCAGCAGTCGAAAAGCGAATTGCGCCTGGCGCAACTCCTCCATGGACAGGTCCGAGGGCTCCTGCCTCAGGTCCTTCACAATCAGCGTAGGAGTCTGCCCTAGAGGCTTGATTTTCATTCTCCCCGTGTGCGTTTTGTTTGGAGCTTCGTAGACAACCTGCCCCGCCACCCAGGGGAGACTCCTGGTCAACATCTCCAGACCATTCTTCAACGAGAGGATCGCATCTCCGGCTGAGATCGGGGAACTTTCTGGCATGTCATAGCAAAGACAAAGTTGGATGTGCATGTCCAGGCAGGACGCGTTCCCCGTGATATCAAGATCCTCGTCGAGAAATTTCTCGGCTTGCTTAGGGCTCATGGTGATGGGCTTGAAGGATGGAATTTTCCCAGTAGGGAGGTATGTCGGAGCATTCGTATAACCACCACTCTCTAGTTCAGGACAAGTCAACTGGATGAGGGGGCGATGGGGTGGCAAGGAGGGATTACCAAGAAGCGAGGAATAAACTACAATCGTTGAGATCATATCATGTCGCCCCTTACCCATGTTGGCTTTACGATCGGCCTCTGCTATTCCGCATTCCACAGTAGGCGTGATAGACAACGTACTCGGCTGGACCTATCATCCTGCAGCTGGCCAAGAAGGGATGTCCGGAAAACAGAGCAGCAACACAGCCCTTGTCGGTGAGACATTTTCCTCTTGGCGCGCCCGAAAGCAAGGAGCCATATGCACCTGTGAGGTCGACCGGACCGTGAAGGTGATCTGCATGCACTGTGTTGTGTCACATACCCGAATGGCAAGGAGGTGACTCTGCCGCTATTCTCGCAGATGGAAAGAGCTACACACGAACTGATAATGCAGTTTCTCAGATATCTGAGCAAGGGCGATAGTTCCTGGCCCCTCAGGCTTGACCAGGCAGTTGCTCGCCTACTTCAGCCGATGACTTCAGACTAATGACCATAATAGTTTCACGGAAAGCCTACATTATTATGGGAATCTGATATGCTTGGGTGGTACACTTGAATGGAGCAAGCTTCGGTTCGGGATTATGAAGAAGGCAACGGCTTTTACAAAGCAATATATTTCTTGACCTAAAATCACAACATAATAAGAACATTTCCTTTGCAAGCTAGACTTAGGTTCAAGACTCCGCACTCTTCTGTACTCACATATTCTTTATATAGTGGCAGGTTTGCCTTGATGAGTATGAAGTCCAGCATTGAGTTCCGTCTGAATTAAGTTGATAGGCCTACATCCATATACTATCAAGCTAACTCAAGCGAACAGATAGGTCGAGAAGTTGACATGGTGGATGATAGAGCTTCCCCTATAGGTACATTCAAACACCAGCCTCCATTTCTCATCTTCTTTCACCTCTCATTCAGAAGCAAACATTAAATCGGGAAAGACATAGCACATAGGGCATGGATGGAAGTTACCAATACTCCGACATTTGATCATGGCACGCCTGTTGCAGAAGTAGTGACTCAAGCCCCTGTCAAGGGCTGTATCACAAGCCATCAAATTGCGGATGATCTCGCTGAAGAGGCCGGATCATAGTATGGCCTTTCACCTGCTACAGAAATATGAAACACGAGTCTTTCCTCGTCGAAATCGTCACTGGAACTGGTTAGCAATGCTATTTTTCTCATTACCTGCTGGAAGGGGCAGAACATACTATGTAGGTGCGTGAAACACTGCACGGCTAAACATAGACGGTTCATGATCAGCTCTGTATGAAGGATCGAGATCATTAATGATGGGGTTCTATACTTATCCCACAGTGCAATACCATTAAGACCTTTCCACCGTCGGCGGATTTGAAGGTCAGAGCTATTGCAGATCATGTAATGAACTACCATGACAGAATTATCAGCAGTCTGTACAATAGATCATGGAAGAAAGGGGATAACCTACAGTACTGCTTTATTACGTCGCTCTCATGCTTCGCGAGGTTATCGAACCCACCGTTACGAATCCCGTAGGCCATGCCATAAAGTCCTTTCCAGCCCGTGACAGGGTTTGTTCGGACAACAGGGCTGACAGGAATAGTCAGTATATCATATCTGGGAAAGGGAGTGGATGCTCTACTGTGATGCCGAGAAATCGAATCCAGTATTCTCCGGGTGGCCTCGGACAGTGTCGGGTTGAAATTTAAGCAGTCCTGCTTGATGCATTTCTTTGAGTTCCTTGGCGCAGTGGGTTGCTGGATGGGTGATTGAAATTAATGAGAGTCGTTAGAATAATACAATATTCCTCTTACCTGTGAGAGATTCTGCAAACTTTCGCCATGGCTCAGAAAGACGTTCATAAAGCCCGTAAGAAGATATAAAAAGCGTATCGCCTCCGGCTGAGGGGTTCTTGATGAGCTTCAGGCTTGTGTAGGTCGGGGGATGTTTTTCGAATGTTTCACTGGTGGGTTGTACTCTTAGCGTGCATACCATAATATGGAGGGAACGATTACTCAGTATGCCAGAAAGAGCTTGCCAGTGCCCGGTCGGCAGGCTTGCCAGAGTTCGTCATAAACTACTTCAATGAGTCTATCTGTGGGACGCAAAACAGTCTTTTGTATGATACTCACCTTCGATGAGAAGAGTAGAACTTCAGGATCCTGAGACTCCGCCAAATCAGGATAATCTGGAGTTGGACCTGGATTTTTGTAAACACCAGATTCCTTTGGTGCTCCGGTCAATTTATTGAACTTCAACAGGAGGCGTTTCGTGTCTGCCGTAGAGATATCCTGCTCGTCGAAAAATAGAACTCCGCGTTCAGAGACTGGACAACGTCAAAAGGGTCAGTCAGGCCTGCCTTTTCTTCTTTGTTTCATGGGTACTTGCTGGTAATTGCGAGGTCTTTGACAGTCTCATCATCGTCGATGATGGAGGACAGCTGTAAGCCGTGATATTCTCTTCCCAGTGCTGGGCTGCATTCGGAATACTTGAACCTGTCAAGTGCACCGGATGTTTTTAGGGGTTTGGGATATGGCTTTGTATCCAGCGCATCATTGCAAAATGGTTGAACAGGGACGGTCATTGTTAATGGATGGTGTATCCGTGCCAGAAATGAGAATGACCTTGGATTTGAAGATTAGAATTGGCAATCTCACATATGCCTCCATTCTTATAGTAATATCATTTGGATAATACAAGTGGGGATAGCACCACAGGGAATGAGGTTGTACTGTCTGAAACGCAAGGGAGATGTATTGGATAAAATCAAGGTATGTCAGTCCGTCATGATGCGCTTTCCCCCTTTACATTCATGAGGTTTGTCTATTTCGGACTACTCCATGTTAGGGCATCCTATCAAAGTAAAGTATGCCATCAACATGGCGTGACATAAAAATTAGTATCTCCTTCAGACAGAGGTGCAAGAATCAGGGTCGCCCAGCAGCTCGTTGTACACCGATATTTCCACCCCTTACTCCATTCTAGAGCTATAATACTGACTGTCCCTAATATCTGGCCAGCGCATACTTTGAACAACAATATTAACTAAACCTTTTCATGTTGTGCGTGCGTAACCCACCCCCTACTGCTTACCCACTCACCGGATAGGGTAGCTTCAAGACGGCACGGCTCACCTACCCAATGATACAAAGATGATAGTCAATAGCTGTCCGCTCTATAGACACTCGAACCATCTTCAGCGTACATACAGAAGACAGTCGCAATGGTACTGTTATGCTGCGCGCCAGGCAGCCCGAGAATTGTTCAAAAGCTCCAATATGACCTTCAATGCGGACAGGACGCGTTAACATCCTTTTGGCTTTGATGCACTACACGTCTCCTTCATCAGTCCCTTGCGGTCATATGACAATGTTCCAGTCCCCTGTTATGACTGCTTTAGTTTAAAATTATATTGCGGCACAGCAGCCCCCTATCATGTGCCAATGAGGAAATTTGGCTCGTAGATCATGACATTAGGCTCCCTAGATGAGAGCCGACAACGAGGCCGCAGTCGTGCTTGAATTGCGGATCTACTTGGGGCCGTCATGGGTGCCGTGAATCATGTAGATATCGGATGTGGCAAGGAGTGCAACCGCCAGGATGGCGAAATGACTGTAGTAGCCCCGATTCCATTTTAAGGCGTTTGCTTAGCAGGCCAACGAGGATACGCCTCGAAAACTTGCCAATAACGCAGTATCATTGGGTCGTCTTCTCACCCCGTGGTCTGCACCGAAGCGACGCCAGGCAAGAACGCAGTGCTAAAGTGCCTATCAGTGGGACGGCTACTTCTTAGCCCAACACAGCAAAGTCAAAAGGCATCGTGGAACCTTGTGCCGAAGCAGGAAGATGTTTGGTGTATGCTCTTTGCCTCCTTCACATATAGTAGAGGTGACGGGTGCTTTGAAACGATATTGTAGACACTCCTAGTCCGGTGGAGCTGCCTGGGGCATCATACACAGTCAGAACGTTTTTAGATGTATGGATTGGCCATAACAAGACAACCCAGTTGCTCGGCTATACAATTTTGATTCGAATCACACATGGTAAATGCTGGAAATACTTCTAACGAGTATCTGTATACTCTGAAGACTACATTAGGCACTCTCCTACCTCTTCTAGTGCACCGATTTGTTCGAATTGAAAGGCAAAACTAAATATGAATACGTTTTCTTTCAGAACGTATAAAGCCCAGGCCATGGTTTAACATGGTACGACAATTATGATGCTTCTTCCATGCTGGGAAGAGAACAGTATATTGGCTTCAACTGACCGCCATCAACATGAGGCAGAGGAAAGAGTGAAAAGACACCAAACGCAAACATAAAATTTCCAGATACCGTTGCCAATGCCCGAGCAGGTTCAACTTTGTTGTCCACCTTCACAGTCCTTTTCCCTGTGATTGGTTGGCCCTTAACTGGAGGGCATCTTCCAGCAGCTTCGAATCGGAAGTGTGGAGGCCAGACACGTTCGGAGGACCAGGCTTTGCAGACCTCCAGCCAATCATTTGTTGGGCAAGAGGGGTCATGGTTTCAACGATTTCACGAGGCATTGTCATAAAGGTCTCAAAGGGAGTAAGCTGACAGCTACTAAAGAAGACCAAAACAGCTCGTCGCGCCTCAGGCAGATCCTCAGGGTGCGCACCCCCGCCATGCACCATCCCCTGGGCCAAAACAAGTACATCCCCGGCCTTCATCTCAGTTGACACTGTCTGGTCAGGCCTGGGGTTCCCGATCTCTGGCCATTTGTGACTTCCCAGGATGACACGGGTCCCGCCATTATCTTTTGTAAAGTCTGTCAGAGCAAGGATAAAACTGATAGCGAGGGGTGGTGCGCCCAGCTTCAGGCTGCGAAGCAGAGGGTGAGTTGACTCGTCACGGTGCAGCTCTTGGGGATTATGGCCTGCGTGAAGCTCTCTCAGGAATGACGCTGTCAACCAGTAATCCCCGGTCTCTGCGAAGACACTCTTGGCAAGGCCGTGGAGAACAGGGCTGTTCAGGATATCATTTCGGAAGGTAGCGCTTTTTCCAGGCAAGTTGAATACATATTTTGACTGTTGTGGGAACTGGAACTCGTAGTTGGTCTTGGCTGCCATTTCTGCAGCTGTCGCAGCCGGGTTAAGGTCCTGGTTGAAGCTTTGGATTATGTCTTCTGAGAAGACGCCTTCGATAATCGCCGCCCCGTCCTCTTCGAGGAGTTGGCGGATGGCGTTTGGGTCTGCATCGGCTGGGACCCGTTGGATTTGAGGTTTTGAGGAATTGTCAGGAACAGTCATGGCGAGAGGACGGGATAATTGAAGCAATAAAGACGTCAAGGAAATATACTGGATGGCAACATTCAGACAGAAAGTTGGGAGGGAAAGACGGTTTATATTGTTAGCATACCGCCAATTCTGGCGGCCGGTACAGCATCCTGACCGACAGCTCCTTCTCAGTCGCTCACCCAATGTCGCCGGCAGAGGAGGAATTGTCGGTGAAGAATAGTTCTTGCTCCCAGAACTCGGCCGGCATTCCTCGGCCATGGCCCTTGCGTAAAAATGGAGGGATAATATACGTATGCAATGCTCACAAGTCATGACTGAGGTCGTACAGAGTATGCTGAGCATTACGAACCCTTAGCAAACATCACTTGCAGTTCTGGCATGTATGTATATGCAAAGTGCGAGGGGCTTATGTAAGGGCGATGTCTCAGTGCGCTCTTATGGAACAGGATATGTGCAAGAGTACACACAGGCTACCAGCTAGCCTGGATATGTGGTACATGCAGTAAGACTCATTCTTGCTGGCGGTTCCGTCCCTTTTTTAGCATTGTAAGGGCGCAATGGCTGAGGCAGATATAGTGCGCGGTGAAGATCTATTGACATAAATAGTTCTTAGAAGGCGTTAGAGTCAATTTGAATCCTTCTCGTTTACTACACTCCCCAGTTCTTTCATTCGCCGAGCCCAAAATGTCAGGCACTGAATCTAAGCCATTGTTTCCCCAGGTCCAACGAACAACCGGAGCTCTGGACCAGTACAAATACATTGAATCGAGCCCCGCACTTGGAAGAGAGTATTCCGGGATCCAGCTATCCTCCATCATTGATAATGATGCGATTGTTCGTGACCTCGCAATCACAGGTACGCCTACTCTTGTTATACCATAGTCCCGAAAAACAAGTGATAACACAGTGACCAGCATCTGAGCGTGGAGTCCTCTTCTTCAATGACCAGGATATCACCCCATTGGAGCTCAAACAATTGATTCTAAGAATTGGCGAGGTGATGGGCCATCCCGAGGAGGCTGGTCTACATCGCAGTGCATTGTCAGGGCAAAAGGACAAACACCTTGGCATTCCTGAGCAGGATGATCCGAACATCCTGATCATCTCCTCCGAGGTGAGTGGCCGTAGTCATTGTCTGTCTCATCACTTTGTTGATACTAACTACGCCTTTGTACCTTTACGGACTTGTAGTCCCAAAAGAAAACATTGAAAGATTCTTTGCCAGCAGTTACACGCAAGTTCGCGAGCTGGGGGTGGCATAGCGAGTATGTCAAGTCTACATCTCACCATCATTTCTTACCCTAACGGACCCATACGCACAATAGCGAGTCTCACGAGAAGTATCCACCTGCCTACACCGGGTTCAAGATAGCTAAAAGTCCTCCAACTGGTGGGGATACTCTTTTTGTCTCTGCATATGGACTTTATGATCGCCTTTCCGAGCCATTCCAGAAGTTCGCCGAGTCTTTAACAGGTGAGTATTCTGCTTTTGGCACAAAACACGGAGTTCTAACGAGCCATAAGCCACCCACCATGCTGCAGAGTATCTCCGCGCCCGAGAGAACGGAGTGCCATTTGAAGCAGACGTCCCAAGAGGACACCCGGAGAATATTGGGTTTGAGTTTAAGCAGTCTCAGTGCGTTAGGCAATCTATTCTCTTCTCTCTTCTTGGTATTATCAACGGAACCACCTGACTCACTTGTGCTTCCAGCCCAGTCGTTCGGACAAACCCTGTTACTGGGTGGAAGAGTCTCTTTGGTGCGGGCTGGGGGTTGGTCGATGGCTGGTTTGATAACATGTCGGAGCACGAAAGCAACCTGCTGAAAGACTTCTGTAAGTCAGTCTCAATACCCCCTGGTCATGCAGTTACTGACCACATGTTAATTCAGTTCTCTTCCTGATCACCAATTGTTTCGACCTCCAAATCCGCAGGAAATGGGATGACAATGGGGTTGCAATTTGGGACAAGTATGTTGCTTGACTTGCGTTGTCCGTATCTTCCAGAGTGTTAATGTTCGACCAGCCGTGCTGTTCACCACAACCCAACATAGTAAGTTACGATTCGCCTTTCAGTTGCTCCTTGACTAACCAGACTTAGTGATGTCGTTGAGGGAGAAAGACTCACCTTCCGCGTGACCGGCATTGGCGAGAAGCCTTATCTGGATCCCAACTCCACCACAAAAACCGAGTTTTTGAGCAAGCAGTAGCCACAAGCAAGGCTCTTCAACGTATATCAAAGAAAGATTACATTACCAAGGAGATATATGAGCAGACATATTGTTCGTTGAGGTATGAGCCCAAAATATAGTACGTCGGAGCTTGCATTTATCAGCCGAAATGATACCACTCTCAAGGTATGGTGCCATATCGAGATGATGGCCTAGGCCAAAAGCAAGTCGCATGGCCATCTCTTTGTATCTTTAGTGTTGCACTTATTTAGTATTGTGGGCTTACTCACCACTATATAGCCATCCTCGAGTATCCCTTGTGCGGGATGCTTCGTGGTTGCTAAGAATAACTAGCGTTTGAATGGTTGACAGCGAAGGTTTTTCGAATTCCCACTGTAACAAAGTTCTGGCCCTTTCACAGAAAAAATCTGATAATGATTGGTGGAAGGTAACAGGTTCGGGGTGATATTTAGGCACATAAGCTGCGCCCAAGGCACACCTGCAATGGTGAGAATTTCACATTGCATCAACTAGGGCCCGCGAGCTATGATCCTGGAGACAGAGGATCCTTGACTAGGTGATTGAGATGAATGAGCCCGAGGTGGCGACGACCCGGAAATCAACTTCCGAGCCCTTGTTGGCCACAGTGCTGAATGAATGGTGATAAAAATTATTTTCAAAGTATAATAGTAAGTCTGACTGAAAAATGCTCTATAAAACGGTCATAATAATAATAATAATACACCTAGTTAAGTATTGGGAATGGGGAGGAATATGTTATTTAATAACTATTGTGTGTGTATAAGTATATATTATAGGTGCACCTGTGCAGATAGAATATTATTGCCTTGTTGATACCCCTAGCATGTGATTCCCTGCCTACGTTCGCGCCCTAAAAATCGTGCAACACCTCTTAAATCATATATACCAAAAGCAAGCCTGGTACTGCAGCAGCCATTAGTGATAAGGGTAGAGGATGCAGTGCATTCCGAAGTGGATTATCACCCTTTAACTCATGAAAATAATCACCTGTAAGGATCTAGTAAGAAACTCATCCCTACCACCCATTCCTGCACAAGCAGTGCCACTCAGGCTTCTCCGAACAACAATTTCCATCTACTCATCGTCGTTGATATCGACGACCGTCTGCTTCCATTTACGAGCCGGAACACGTCGCCGGAACAAAATGTCGATCTCACGGAAGGACCTGTCCTTCATCTCTGGGATCCACAGCCAAGACATGAAGGTGCAGATAAAGGCGGTGCCAGCCCAGACATAGCCGCTCTTGCCGCCCAGGTTCCACTTATCAGCGTTGAGCATGTAGCTGGACAGGAAGATGCAAGGAATATTGACCACGTAGTAGGCACCTCGTCCAATACCGGTTGTCAGTGGCCTGAGACGAACGGAAGATGTCTCGCCGATGATGACCCATGAGGCAGGGGCGGGTCCCAAGCAGAATAGGACGGAGACGATCAAGCCAAGGGATGCTTGCGCATTGGTAGCTGCATGACTGGTGCCAACTGAAGCCGCGATACCGAGCGCGACCAAGAATGCGCAGTTGATAAGTTGACCATAGACATAGATGGTGCGTCGGCCGAGATATGTGGTGAGGATCCAAGAGAGCATGACCATGATCCACTGGAGAGCAGAAGTGATGAGACCAAGTGCAAATGCGGTGTTGTCTGCCATGCCGGCCTCTGAGCTGGCGTTAGTCTGCTGTGAGTTTGCAGGAAATGGTTGGACTCACGTTTGAAAAAGTAAACCGCTTGGTTAGCAATCAGATTGCCCGTCAGATTCTGAGATGCGTACACACCGCACACAATCAATGTGCGGTAGAGATCGGTACCTTTCCACAGTTCAATAAGACTGGGCTTCTTCTCGGTCTTCTCCAGCTCGATCGTGCGACGCATCATTGCGACTGCATCAGCGGGATCATCATTTGCACTCGCGCGTCCAAGGCGTTTGACAGCCTTCTCTGCGTCAGCCAGACGGCCCTTTCGTACGAGCCACCAGGGTGATTCAGGCGCCAGGTAGAGTAGGATAGCGAGAGGAGTAGGAAACATCCACTGGAGTGCAATGGGGATTCTGGTATGACTGTTAGTACAGTGCTCCTCGATGGCATATATGGGAGCGGACGAACCTGTACGCTGTGGAGTCATTCTTGGATTGGTAGTGGTAAGTGATACCGCCGACAATGATCGACCCAATAGCCCAGAACATCTGCAACATCTGCGTCGCTGGAGCTCTCAATCTCATGGGCACAATTTCGGCACAGTAGGCGGGTGCATTGGCGACAAAAATGCCCCACGGGATGCCTTCCAGGATCTGGGACGCTAAAAACATGCCCTGGCTGTTGCCGAAATAGAAGATGAAGATGAAGGCGTTCAGGAACATGAGACCGCCAATGGTTGCCCATCGATACCCAATCCAACTGGTAATGGGACCTGCGATGAATACACCGATGAAGGCACCGACTGGTCCGCTACACTGGAATGCTGACTGCCATGAAGCTTCGATAATATAATCCCTTTTTACGTCGCTCCATACACCAAAGTCCTCGGCGAATCGACGTGTGGCTATGAACTGTCCCATCAAGAAAACGCAGTATGACTCCATGATCTATCGCAGCGTTAGAGAAAAATGATCTGCCATTCATGGGCAAGAGCGTACAATGGTGCATGACATGACGAATGCCCACCAACTGGCAGCGGGATAGGCCTTGACAGCCTCGAGCACAGTCATCTTATGTTCGATATCCTCAGCATTGATGGCGCCCGCTCTGTCCAAGCCGACCTTCTCGTCGACATCGTAGACAGGTCCGCCCTTGGAGGTGGGCTGCTCCTCGAGCTCCAACGCTGAGGTCGGCTTCTCCGTGACGACGTTATCCATGTTAACAAACTGAGAGAAATGTGGGAATGAAAAAAGAGGAAGAGGCAGGCACAACTGGGTGTTCAGCTCTTTATCCCTGCGACACACGCTTGTGATGGGAATCCTGATCTAAGCTCAATTAAGTGAAGCTTACTCCGGACTTTGACCCCCACAACCCAACATCTCCACTCATTAGGGCCAATTTTTCCGGGAGTAGAGGGAGCAAAGTCGCATTCGCCTCGCCATCGGTTCAATCAACCTTTCTTATTAGCCGTAGCGGGCATCGGTGCATATTCTTCCGAATTGCTCTGGTTGCGGTGTAATGGCGGGAGTTTCAAACATGGTGGGTGGCTCTTTTGGGGAGCGGGGTAATCTGATACTAGTCCTAGTTGGGTAGATCTCCGGTCCCATACGGAGAACTCCGCAGTCCTGTCTTCGAACAGCACGGTTACACTGTAATATCCCGGGGTAAAAGGGGGGGGGAAGGCCACCAGAACCGCCTTTTGTCTTTTCCGCTTCCTCTTCATCTGGGGCCTACCCTCGCTCGTATCCTATCCTATTGTATCCGCCTCTCAGGTCTAAGCCGCTACAGATATTCCTTCCCCTGATTCTAACCTCGGCCATAGTCCTGCCTTCCTACCTGACGTTGCAGGGGGCCTAAAGATACGGAGCTACGTATATTGTTGGATCAACGAAGTGCTAGTAGGCGCCACCAAGCACTACGGTCAGCCTTCGGTTAATTAAGCTCGGGGTTCGGTTAATTCAGACTATAGATGCAATGTGACGGTTGAGAGCTTACTAGCTGGGGCTCAGCAAGAAGGAACACGTCTTGTAAAGCTAGGATAGGCTTAAGATTACAAGATCATAGAATGATTGATAAATAGTAGATACAATGAAGGTGCTCATGCCTATCTAAGGGTAGCTAATCGACGAAAAACTAACCACGGAGAGAAGAAGGAAAGGAACTATGTTACATAGCTTGCTGCAATCGCTTCTTATATGCGTCTAGTTGCATGGGCAGTTCCATATTCGAAAGTCATAAAAATAAAAGAGGATACCTCTTTTGGTATAGTTTCTACCTAGGGCTTAAAGCTCTAGTATGGCTTATAATAGCCTATTAAAAAACTGAACTTATAAGTATTATATTACCTTCCTCCTTACCACGCATTTACTTTTAAATACTAGATTTAGCACCTTTGTGAAGCTAATCCTCTAGTTATTCCAGCAGTCTATACTTCGATAGATACATATCGTAGAATTCCTGGGGCGATTACGATACGTCCCTAAAATTCTTAGCTAGATACTATTCCGAGTCATAAAACATTCCATACGGTTTCATTACCAAAACTTGAGACAGGGGCTCGGAATAATTCACAAATATGGCCTAGTGCCTTCTCGGCCACAGGGGGTGCGAAATAATTGAAGTGAGTAAAAGCATGCGCTGGTTTTGTAACCAGGTGTATATGGCATGGAAGGTGATATTAGTCCTCACTGTACTTCGTACTTCAGGCTTTCTTATACAGACACATTATAGTGTGGATTCATGAGATGAATAGCTTGCCATCGGGATATAGAAGACTTCAAGATCCTATATTTGTTCTCTATGCGTCTGGTTCAGAGCATTCATGGAACTCATTTATAGAAATTTATTATCACCAGCATAGAGTAGCAAATTATTAAGATCCTTTAGCAGCCCTGGTTTCCATAGGGATCTAAAATAGTTCACATAGCCTGTAGGGTGTCCTTTTAAGAATTCTCTGTGCTATACTACTCTCGGTAGAACCATGGCTTCTGTTGACAGCATGAAATGGGATGCCGCGTGAATTCGCGTACTTGACCTCTGTCAGAAATCGATTAACCAAGTCAATCATTACCACAAAGGAAGTAAAGACATACTATGATGGGAATATCGGACCACCTAGCAGGCTCAACCACAACAAGGAAATCAGGCTGAGAATACGCCTGCCAGCGCTCCATTGCATTGAACCATTGTGGATCATTTTGAATTTGAGAAAAGATAGAAGAATTGGCAGACAATTTTGGACCCAGCGCAGTGCGAATGGTTGCAGATATCAGACTGGACAAAGGATTAGACCGCTACTCAATAACAGAAGAAGAAAGAAGAGCCGTTGCAATTGTGGGCACAGTTGCCAATGCTAGCCATCAGAAGA